TGATAACTAGTGGTATGTATTATTAGTGTTTTTTCCCCTACTTATAACTAGTGGTATGTACTAAGTCTATTTTTTTATAGCTAATTGTACAATTTAAGTGATTAACCACTCTGATAATGTGTATGATGAACCATTCTGATAACTAGTGTGATTAACCACTCTGATAACTAGTGTGATTTACCACTTTGATATTTAAAAGTGTGATAAACCACATTGATAACTAGTGTGATGAACCACTCTGATAATGTGTGTGATGAATCACTCTGATAATGTGTGTGATGAACTAGTGTGATGAATCACTTTGATAACTAGTGTTATTAACCATTCTAATAACTAGTGTGATAAACCACTCTGATAACTAGTGTGATAAACCACTCTGATAACTAGTGTGATGAACCACTCTGATAATGTGTGTGATAAACCACTCTGATAACTAGTGTGATAAACCACTCTGATAACTAGTGTGATAAACCACATTGATAACTAGTGTGATGAACCACTCTGATAATGTGTGTGATGAACCACTCTGATAATCTAGTGTGATGAACCACTCTAATAATTTGTGTGATGAGACACTCTGATAATCTAGTGTGATTAACCACTCTGATAACTAGTGTGATTAACCACTCTGATAACTAGGGTGATTAACCATTCTGATAATCTAGTGTGATTCACCACTCTGATAATGAATGTGCGATGAATCACTCTGACATTTAGTGTGATGACCCACTTTGATATATATAGTGGATAAAGTACTTTTACAACTAGTGTGATGAACCACTCTGATAACTGGTGTGATAAACAACAGTGAACTATGATATTAAGTGAGAAACTCCTCAAATAACTAGTGTGATGAATCACTACAATAACTAATGTGATGAACTAGTTTGACTACTGGTGTGATGAACCACTATGATAGCTAGTGTGATTCACCACCCTGATAACTATACTGTACAGTATAGTTTGATTAACCACTCTGATATTAATCTTGTGAGATGAACTTCTAAGGTACCTAGTGGTATAAACATCTACAATTGTAAACATAACGTAAACATACATGTACGTCTAATGTTTCAATATTTGAACTAATAACATAACGGTTCCAGCTCGACATTTTGATGTCATTATATATCTAAACGACAGTTATTAGTTTATTTCATTGACAAATCTTCAATCAACAGATAAATAGTTTTGAAACATACTTTCACTTTCTGTGATAAGAAACATGTTTAAACATAGCCATAGGTTTACGTCTACTTTCGTTTTAAATTTCCATAACCTTTTAAAGTACTCACTTCTATAACATGTCATGTATTATTCCAAATAGAAAATAAGATAATTGTGTGTCCATTTCAGCAACTTGGTTTTTAAAAAAGCTCACATTTTCTACTTTTACTTCCTGGTTTTCAGTTTCAAGTACGCACAGATAGAGATAAAATCCGTACACTTCCGTTGTCGATTTGTTTACGGCCCGGGTAAATATTTGTAAAAGGGTGCATTTCAAGATAAGAGAGACCCTTCAATATCGGTGCCCTCTATTTTAGTACATGCCCAGGTCATTCTTTGCTGAAAACATATCAGCGATGGACAGGAATCAAATCTATAAATGAAAGGATATATACGTACAAATATAAGGCATTGAATAATATGTTTAATCTACAATATATTTCTTATTTATAAATTTACTATTACCAGGGACTTAAGTCCCAGCCTAACCGTAACTCCAAAATAAGCCACACAATATCACCTGTTTCCTTGCCTACCAGCCTGACATGTTGTGTAAGTTTAATGGATCGGTGGTTTGATTATGTTTACACCAGATGTATTTCATGTATTCAATAAATATCATCTTAAATAGATACACGACAATAAATGGTAAATGCAAAATATTATGTAAAATTCATAAAGAAAACCTACTTTACTTTCGATTTCTCAGAGACTTTCGTTCCCTTTCCGCTATAATAATAATTAAAATCACAGGTAACATCTTTTTTCAAGGGTGCCCTGCTAGCACAGTATAGGTACAGACAAGCAAGAACGCGAACTATATCTTAAATAAGACTTTTTACAGTAGCCGGAATTGTCAAGAGAGAGATAAAGAGAGAAAAACGAAATAAATAAGTGCAAGTATTGTCTCCAGAAGAGCCACAGTATTTCAAGACAAGAGCGATCAGTGATCACATGTGTCGCCTCATGATGGCCAATTTCATGTAGGGACAAGTTTTGTGACAGACGGTCAGACAGACGGACAGTGCACAACTAGACTTGGTACTGATCATTCCTGTAAAGTTTGGATAAAATTGCACCAGTAGTTTATTAGGAGTAGTGCGGACAAGCTTTTGTGTATCTGGCAACACACAGAATCAAAGGGCCATAACTCGGCCAAAAATCATTCAACCGGAAAACCCGTGCAATATGCGCAAGGACTTGAGCTACAGATCAATCCTGTAAAGTTTCATTGAAATTGCATTAGTGGTATAAGAGAAGTAGTCCGGACCACAGGTAAACGTTGCATGGCCATGACTTACACTATACCCCCGTTCCCCCTCTACAACCCAAAACCCTAAAAAAAAATTATGAAAAAAAAAAAATTTTATGACTAATATTAGTCATAAAATTTTTTTTTTTTTCATAATTTTTTTTTAGGGTTTTGGGTTGTAGAGGGGGAACGGGGGTATAGTGTAAGTCATGGCCACGCAACGTTTACCTGTGGTCCGGACAAACTTTAAAAATAAAAAATATTAAAGGGCCATAACTCTGACAAAAATCATTGAACCGGAAAATGCTGACAATATGCACAACAAGACTTGGTACTGATCATTCCTGTAAAGTTTGGATGAAATTGCACCAGTAGTTTATGAGGAGTAGTCCGGACAAGTTTTGTGACGGACAGACAGACATACAGACAGACGACGGAGAAGTGACCACTACTCCGTAGAGGCGACACAAAAATCAAACATGAGAAAATGTACTAGGATTTTAACAAAAGGAAAAAGATTCAAGGTCCAAATAATAATTTGTATGTTACATGCGATTAATGGCTGTTTTTGCAATATTTGTCACCAAATTGAGGGACTAACGCAGGAAGGGCTATTTCTTTTTAAAGACCTCTTTTCAATAATTTACAAAGATTTTAGGTGCCGTTTGTACTGTTTAAATTACTTTTTGTTCACTTCATAATATTTTACTTTTAAATACATTTTCAATTACATGAATTGGAGGCAGCACGGCAAACTCCAGTTAGACTACATGGTCAGACGTCTAGTGTAACCAAGATGCTGCACTCCATTAATCTCCACCGACATGAACTCAGACGTATAGGTTTTCTTTAAGATTAACCATGGTCTTGTTGCTATGCCCATCACAGACAACTCGGCCCCTCTCCTGAATATTACGTCATGACCATCACCTCAGCTATAGGCTAATTAAAGTAAACACAGACTACTACTGCCTAGGACTGTTTAACACTGGAACCACTTACTCCTCACAGTTGCGCACCATAGATTTAAACTTGTCAATGTTATGATTGCATTCAATTTGCACAACATACATACGAAAGTATGTTCCGGAGAATATACAAAGGCAACCGACCCGTTTGCTTTCTTCAGTAAGAATTTGAGTTGAAGACTTTTCCTAGCTGATGTACGGAAGAGCTTTCCTGTGAAATGTGGAACTGATACAGTTACATGGTTTTTCAAATGATAATGTTTTTCGGTGTTTTATCTGGAGAATACCATTTTGCGCAATATCATCAATAGACGTTTTTCAAATATATCAACGCTTTCCACATGACTAACAATAGTTATTCTTCATGTCTGCAGATGATTCAAATTTAATGAATGAAAGTGATAACTATGAGATGATGCAGTGATCTTGATATACGAGTACTAACAAGATGGTAAAAAACTTGGATGCTAAATTTCTAATGAATGGAGTATATAAATCTGTCAATAATGGGTTAAATAACCTAGGCAATGTTAACACTGAAATATCTAAATGACCCCAGAGTGACCGTAACAAATGATTTCAAATTAAGTGAACAATGTGCTTAAGTTGCTGGACTTGATTTTTACTGAGACCTGTTTTGAAACCAATTGACATTAGTAGTTTTAAGCACTTCTGAAAAAGAGATGTATTGTTATAGTGTTAACGTGTGGTCATCTTTAAACAAGTTACCGTTAAATATCAACAACTATATACTTATTTTGAAATGCACGATCGGTAAGGAAACTATCAAATCCTGACTGAGTGTTCCAAGTATTACATTGCTGAAGGTAATGCTTCATTGATTTCATCGCATGGCGACTATACTACAACACATTCTTTGATTTTTTTTATATTATCAGTGTAATTGTCATTATTCTAAAGTTCGAAAATGAAAATATTTCCGTATTGTTTTCCTCACTAGATTGGTGTTGCTTGTGTTCCAAATTTAACGACAACAACAACAAATATGACGTTAACGAGTGCATTCATATATGTGTGTACTCATACAACGTATAAACCATATTTACAACATATTTTGTATTGTTTGTCATTCGGGACTATATGGATACAACTTTGATAAAGTTTGAGATCAGACATGTCATTAATCTTTGATATTACAAAACTTTTGTAAAATGAACAACATGAAATAGGTATAATAGACACCGACCATTGTTATTTAAGATACAAAATAAGTCAACTGCCGTTTTACATCACAGATACAGTGGAAAATGCTATATCTGAAACTGTTAAAAACCTAGATATCGTGTTATATTTCCCCTGAAATATGTACGGTCTTGTATGTCGCTTTTCCACCGATGATATCATTATACATGTGGAGATGATATGAATATTTCTACAATTTACTGACTTCAGTTCGGACTATCTCACCACATCTGATTTGTGAGTGTAGCTTTATTTTAAACAGATAGCAAGCTCTTCATATTGTCATCATAAGTGAAGTTAAGTCTTTGCTGAAAGGCTGCAAGATAATCTTATATATAGCAATTTCAAATTTCAAGGACGCCAAAACACGTGATTAGCATGAGTGTAAGCAGGACCTAAATCGCGCCTTTATTTTCTTCTTGTCGCAGTTCCTAGTTGCGTGTCGCATCATAGAAGACATAATTAATAGACAAAATGTTGTTTGCCAACTTTCTGTTGTTACTACATATATTTAACACCGTTTATACAAGCTCTGTGGAGAAAAGACTCCTGTTACAAGGTAATTTTGTTTGGTTTGTTTTTATGGTAAAACTAATACAAATGTAAAATATATAAAAAAAATTTTTAATAAAACATTTGCTTACAATTTTATCAAAATAGGCACATATATTTTATTTTTTAACAGATCTTTCACTTAGCTGTATAAGGATTTATCATTTTCCTTTTAAATCTTTGGTAATTTAAATCTTTGGTAATTTAAATCTTTGGTAATAATGTGATTAAAACAGTTCACATGAAATGTTGCTGGATTCATAGAAGCTGTGCAATTTTTCTTATTATTATTATTGTTTTGAAAATATATATTATTGCTTTTATTGAATATTTTTTTCTGATAACTTTTCAAGCCTATGCATTAAAAAGAATAATTAGAGAAATAAAAAAAATCCCTAAAGAACGCCAAAATACGACAAAAATGAAATGTTGCGGCTCGGTTTGAGCCTGTTCATGGACTTACAGGAAAGTGCAAGCCACCGTCCAAGCTCATAGCACCGGGTTAAACAAAATTCTAACATTTAATATGAAATAGTAAACTTTTGAATTTAGAAACATCCGCAGATTCGTCATGTTATAGAACCTTCTAGACGGCGAACAAATGAAAATATTCTACCATTCATCACGAATATTTTTCTTTTTTTTCTTATTTTTTAGTAAAATGAATTTGTTAGAATGGATTGCGTGTCACATTTGTAATGTTTAATGTCTGGACAGTTAACTTAGATGCTTTCGTCATTTATAAATTGTTAATAACAAAACTTTTGAAAAAGTCCGATTTATACAGATAAATTCATTTAAAACATGTTTTACATTTATATGTACAATGAAACATTTCAAGTCGTATTATTAGGATTGCCAATAAACAAAACATTAAATATTTCAACAGAAATCATACAACTCTCACTGGAAGGATAAAGTTTTAGGTTAATTATCTGCCAGCTTGACCGAGATTTTTATGACATAGTAGGTCACTAAATTTAAATCACAAGCCGGTCATGTCGTGATTTAGTTTACGATAAAGTCCATTTTTAGCTGGACGTTGTTCGAAAATAAATTATCGTGACAAAATGTCACTTTGTCAAAGTTTTCTGTCATTTACCTAAATATTGAACTGTATAACAAATATTGAAATGTAGAAATAGAATATGTATCGAAAAAGAATCTTTGTCTTCTTTTTATCGATAAATCAAAAAGTTAATTTTGGTTCTTTTTCTAATACAAAATTCGTAAATGCTGGCGTCCCGCAGGGGTCAGTGATCGGAACTTTTCTCTTTTTTGATTTACGTCAAAATGATTCTTTTGTCTTTATTGACATCTGTGCCAAAAAGTTTTATGCTTTTCCCATTTTCTGAAGTATTTTGTTAAGAATTTACTGGACTTTTTTAGTATAATTAAAAAGAAAATTCTTACACAAATAACCCGGTACACAGTTGACAAAACCATTATAGATTATAGCAGTGTAAGAAATTCAGATTTCAATACACTAGGCTGGTCGGACTACTAGATTGGAATATTCACTAGCCCAAAAGACATTTCACTAGCACGATTCATTTGTTCAAAACAGTTGTTTATATATTGCCTCTGAAAATACAGTAGCCTGGTCGGGCTTGTTACTGTGAAAAGTTGGTAGCATGAGAAGAAATTTAGTAGTCAGGGGCTATAGGACTACTGCTAATTTCGAACACTGTTATAGTCAAATGTTTGATACAAAAACATATCAAATAATATCGGCATTAGTCAAAAGTAAATTTGTCAATATAGTTAACAAAGTGAAAAGTGAATATCTTCTAATAACAATTTTTATATGATTATTAATACCGATGACTATTTAAAGCCTGTGAATGTATGTCTTGTTACTATTTTGATATATTCTTTCAGATTAATATGAATATAAAAGTATTTTACTGCATAAATCAATCAATCAATCAATCAACCAACCAATCAATCAATCAATCAATCAATCAATCAATCAATCAATAAATCAATCAAAATTTAAAAAAAAAAAATAATAACTAATTTATTCTTTTTATTTTATATTACTTAAATTATTTATTTATCCAGTTATTTATTTTATAAACATATCCCGGATTCAGTGATGCTAGAAATATTTTTATTTAACAACAATTCAATGGTTTATTTAGTTTTATCCTGTTCACGTAGTGATAACCTAATCAAATTAAAATCCTATATCATACAAAACATAATTATGCATTATTAAGAATGGACCAAACAGTATATCATTTATCTTGCCCAAAGGTTACTCAGGTGTTATTGCCCAAATGTTACCTAGAAACAGACATGAACTCGTATAACGCAGACATAAACAGTTAGATATAATAGAAGTTATACTAAGAATACTAATTTCAATTGACACAGACTCAATGAACTTTTCTCGATAATGAATCAAAGCAAACAGAAACTCCCCAAACGTTGGTGCAGAAAATAAACTCAAAATTAAACTCAAGACAATCTTCAGACATATAACATCTCAACCATATGGCGGCAATTAAAATGTCTTGTAAATAACTTGATATTCAACAAGCAGACGACTTTATATATTACAGTTTCTCAAGGTATATCAATTGGAACAGTTGCAAACACTGACCTTGATGAGGCTTCCGGGTTGTGTGCCAGCAGACAATTTCCGGGTATTTTATATACACACAATGATAAAGGTGGACAAAACAGAATATTTGCAATAGACAGTGCTACAGCCCAGGTATTGTTTGAGAGACACCCTACTATCTGCGCATAACCTAAAATGTTGCATTATATAAGAACCGATATTTCAACATTTTTTTTTTAAACACGACACAATATTTTCTTCCAAAAATACATTTATCAAGTTCCCATTCACATATGCTGTAGTTGCAAATGAATCACTTTACAGCGGTAGGGACAGATAATAAATATATAAGATGTAAGTCTAACATAGTAAATTCTAGAATAACATAATAAATTATGTAACATTAAAAAAAAGTCTATACTATTCTTATTTCTCTAGGTAATTGCAGTATTAGTTATAGATGGCGCAACAAATACAGACTGGGAAGATATTGCTTGTGGAAAATGTTTTGGACATACGTCTGATAATTGTTTATATATTGGTAACTCTTATTTTTCTTTTACATTAAATGAAGTTTAGCATCAGACATGACTTATTTTATAGCAAGTTGTTTACGTCACAGGCATATTAAGAACAGCATGAAAAGCGTCCAATTATTGAGTTGGCAATGTTAATAAGCTGAAAGAATTGTATAGGTATAATCTGATCTATATTCATAAACTTTTATCAATTGTAATATTGTAATATTTGTGACTAAACAATCTTTGCATAGGGAATTTTATTGTTTTATAACCAAATATTTCCCAACTTTCTTTATTACTTTCTTTTTTGGTTAATGAATCTACAAGAGAAATCATTTTACTACTAGTATTTCGAAATATTCTAAATGAAAAGTAGCCAGCTATTTTATATATATGATTTAGCTGGGACTTAATATAACGTTAAATTATGTCCAATGTCATCTGTGTTGCATTTTTAATTGTTATTATTAATGGTAGTTAGAACATTTGCAAATGTTAAGTCTTGATGAGTATTTTCCTATAAAAACAACTTTGTGTCTCGTCAAATCAAATGAATATATACTTCTACTTTAATAACTTGCTTCTTGCAGGTGATATAGGAGACGCAGGTGGTCATGGGTCAGCCACGACAATTTACCGAGTACAAGAACCAGCAGTGCTTAATACTCTAACACACGTGTCAGTGGAGGCGGAGCTCCATTATAGGTATGAGCCTTAATAACGATGATCTTTAAAAAAGAAAATGAGAGTTTCATCAAGGCAGTTCTCTTGCCAAAGGGACTCCACTGAATTTTGACATTAAGGGTCCTTCGAGATTTATGTACCATTTGATAAAGGTCGGGGCAAATAATTTGTGTGCAATATTTCAGATCATTCGCTCACTCCGCGAGCTTTTCGAGATCAATAGCATTTACAAAAAAAATCCAGAGAAATTTAGTTATGGAGAAGGAATTAGTCACATTGGATAAGGCCTTGAGAATTAGTCAATTTGTCATTTTTTTCTGATGCTTTTTCTTTATTTTCCGCAATCGAGTGTTAAATACTAGTTATATGCATGCACGGTCACTGAACAAGGAATTGCTTGGCATAGCTTTACTTTGACGCTATATTAAGATAATATGTTTTTATCTCTTGTTGCAAAATCTCGCAAAAGTCCTTAACGATGACATTTCCTCATGTTGGAGGAAAATATTTGAACGTAGGGTCATGTATATATAGAATATAATAATATTCAGCACAAAACCTTTCGCAAAATTGTAAATTTTAAGCCAGTTACTGGTCTCCAACATTGTGAAGTTGCCAATATTTAAATAGAACCTTTGCCAATTTGCTCAAGTATTGAAAACATGTTTCAGCACTAGTACTAGGTTAAGAAAACTACGTCATGTCTAATCTACGATACAATAATTGTTAAGAAATTTTGACCAACATTGCTTACATTACGTGGTATTCAGCGGGAGCAAATCATATTTGCTTCCACTAAAATTAACCAGCAGCGGTAATATGCCGGAGAGAAAAGCTAAAGACCTAGCTTAATGTCACTGTCACTTGCGCATCTTCTCCGAATATTTGTTCCATGATTCTTGGTATATGATTTTTAAGGGATGCCAATTTACGACGACCATTTTTGTGTAGTTTTTCGACCTGATATACTTACAGGACGTAAAACAAAAATTCCATCATGTAATCATGCTGTGAAATGGTTTGAAAATATCACATATTTTTACAGAAGATGCTTTTATTTTTTATAATTTTCAGCATTTAAATTTGATTAAAAGAAATTGTTTGAAAATATTACTTCATGTTTCTTTTGAGAATTTAGTAAAGTGCAATAATTCTGGAAAAAAAAACAGGTATGAAAGGACATGATAATCTCTGTGATATTGGACATCGTATATAGTCTGTGTGCTTTGTCTGTAATTATACTAACTAATTTTACCTCTAATTTAGCTGGGGTGAGATAAACGCAGAAACTCTTATGGTAACACCGGAAGCAGAACTATATATTGTTTCCAAGGTACATGGTGGCAAGGGTTTAATTGCACACATTCCGGGTTCAGGATGGGGTTCAAACTCACCTATTCAACTTAATTCAAGCCACCGACTTGATGTAACTACAACCCACAATGATCCACTCGGAGGTGATATATCACCTGACGGTCAAGAAGTTCTCATTAAAGTCAGGAATTATGTTTTACATTACAATACAAACGGGAGCAAGGATTTTGAAGGTAAAATTGAGAAGAAAAATCAACTGTTTGTGTATATTTTTTCCACAATTTAGTTCAATCAAACGGCCTGTTTAAAACCGTTTCATATACTTCACATGCATTGCTTCAACTGCTTATAAAACAGTTGAAGCAATGCGTGTGAAGTAGCATTTTGATGATCATCTGATTATTTAGTTATTTATAGCATTAGATTGGATGGTCGATTTTTTGTTTTAATTTTAAGACAAACCGAATTTATGTTTGCACCTTTCTAACCTTAAAAGTATCATTATGAATGTTTTGATTTCAATATTTGTAAGACGAATTTATTTTCTGTAGTCAGTTATTTTCCGACACAGAATAAAAAATGTACAAATTGTTTGTTTCAGTTGTACTGTCTGGTAGTCCTGTAAACCTACCGTATGTACATGAGAAGCATGGAGAAGCGGTTGCATTTAGTTTAGACGGACAGACATATTACACACTTGCTGAGGGACATCACCCAACACTCTATAGATATAATGCAAAAATTTAACTTCATGATTTTAATATTTTGTTTTACCACGTTAATGAATAAAAATATAAATTGTTTTTAAAACAGTTCGTTTTGAAATGTCCTTCATATTCATGGATTTTTAACTGTTCTTTTTTAATTTAGACATTATTAACCATTTATTAAGGTTTGGCCTAGTCACTCTAATTAAAGTATCAAGGTGACAGCAAAGTTTATATAGTTTTCTAAGAGGAAGTGGAAAAAAATTCTTGGTATCCTACCGATGAAGGCCAATTGCAAAAAAAAAAAAATAATTGGAAAAAAGACAACAACAAACAAATCAACAACAAAACTTGAAACTGTAAAACCTCATACACAACCTGAGGTAACATTTAATGGCATCCCACCAGTACAGCAATGGGTGAAGACTTTATTGTCCGTCGCTTAAAAAAACAACTAAAAACAACAAAGTCAATAACAGGATAACCAATGGCATCGAAAGTATGGCAATGATATGTCTTAATTAAAAGAAAATGATAATATATTACTAGTAATTTAGTTTAACGATGTGTCTTAATACAGCATATTTGCTTTATCATCATTCTTAATTAGACATATGTACACAATTAATTGGGCAAATAGACACTTTCCATTTACAAAAATATATATGAGAATACTTTGATTTTTTACACTGCCATCCCTTAATTATAAGGAAAATAACAAAACATATTGTTATTCGATAAAAGAAATAATTAATACAAGTAATTAAGTTATTCAAGGGAAAACATAGTAGAAAATGTCTTTGCACTAATACAAACACAATTTGCAATGTCATTGCCTTTAATGTTTTTTGTTATTCAAAACGTTTAAAATGATTGTATATATGGGTAAGGACTTTCTATTAACGTTCACTCTGGTGGAACCGAAAGTGACCAGCCGTGGTCACCAGTACAGAGCCAGGCCAGCTTGCACGGCCGAACAGTCTGACCAGCTATGACCATTTTCTTTTTCCTGCACTATGATATTGAAATTCCATTTCCAAATGGACTTGTTTAGCAAATCTATTACACAGCTTCAGCAAGCTAAAGGTCACAACAAACTTGTTTTTTTTTCAGTGCCGACTTCGTGAAAAAATGGTAATTAAGCTTTATACATAGCAGCTGATGTTTTGAGTGATGGATCTCTTTCAACGTATTTTTTGGTCAAATTTTTATACTTTGCTGATGTAACTTCTCTCCTTACGAAATGGTGCCCAACCAGTAAAGCGGCAGAATATAAAAGTTAAATGCATATCGGCAAACATTCCCTTAACATAGTTAATAATATATATAATAATAATAATAATATATTATGTATTTTGTAAATAAAACTAGCCTGCAACACACGAGTAAAAGCACAACTAAATAAGTGTATCTTACCAAAAACAGTACAACAGACTAAACATAAGATGAGAGGTTGACACTGAATACAAGAAACAAAATAAATGAACTGGTATTTGCTTTTCCCTAAAAAAAAATGCCGCGTTAATTTACGATATATTTCTCTCCAGAATGCTGAGCTAGTACTGGAAACTGGGGATGATGTATTTGATAACAAAAACTGACCACATTAAGATCTTCTTTTTTCCATCTGTCTTTTGTGTCTAAGATTTATAAGCAAATTATTTTGCTTTGTATAATGAAAGAAATATCATTTCAAAACTATTATGTTCAGCGAGTATTTTGTTATTCATTTAGATACTGGAGAAATGGCAGGGGTTTAGTTTAAGGGAATTAAAAAATTTATTTTAAATCGGAATTTCTAGAGACCTTGGTTTAAAAACGGGCTCTTATTTTAAAAAAAGTAGGCAGTAAAGGGATTTTTTATGTGTTAATGTTTTGATTTTGAAAAATTTGTTTGGTCGATGATTTAAAGACAATTGTCAAATTATTGCGTATAAAGTTAGAAAAGATATAAAAATAAACATCTTATATTTTCTGTCACATATATTATAATATTTTGTTACTAAAACCGGAAGCCAAATTCCGACTGCTTTTGTATTCTTTAATCAAATGCAAATGGACGATTTCAATTATTGTTATTCTATTGATTTAGTAATTGCCTCGCATGCGGGTTTTTTTGTATGAAGGATGTCCGTAAAGTATTGAGACTCGATTTGTCTAAAAAAAAGTGTTGAAAATCAATCACTAAGAAATATACATTTGTACAAATGTAAAGAGAGGATAAATTAAATTACTTACGGAAAATGGAATTTTATTTGGACATACTAAAAACGAAAATAGCTGACAAGACAACCAATGAGCGATTAAAGGAGCACTTTGACGTTGCCGTATATCTATAATCAATTACACTTAATAATAATTGGATAACAGCATTAATAGGTGAAAGGGTTGACGTTAAAACGTGATGTAAAAACGCATGGCGTCAAAACTAAATCTTATATTCCTGAGGTTATACAACTTTTTTCTGAGTTCTGTCTCAAATCTCTCATTGGCCAGTAAAAGTTATGTGACAGTTTCTGACCTTTCAAAAACCTGAGATCTGATTATGAGTTTAGAAAATGTTTTTATAACTTCGGACCCAGTTTTGTGCTGCCGTTGGGGCATCAAGTATTGGTATGAAAGAAACTGAAGATGTGGTGGTATGTAAGGCCCAAGTAGATTTTCCGTATATATTAGGTGATATGGGATAAATGTTCCGTATATATTAGGTGATATGGGAGAAATGTTCCGTATATATTAGGTGATGTGAGAGAGATGTTCCGTATATATATATGGGAGACTGAAACTGATGATGTGGTGGTATGTAAGGCCCAAGTAGATGTTCCGTATAAATTAGGTGATATGGGAGAAATGTTCCGCATATATTAGGTGATGTGAGAGAGATGTTCCGTATATATTAGGTGATATTGGAAACTGAAACTGAAACTGATGTAAGGCCCAAGTAGATGTTCCGTATAAATTAGGTGATATGGGAGAAATGTTCCGCATATATTAGGTGATGTGAGAGAGATGTTCCGTATATATTAGGTGATATTGGAAACTGAAACTGAAGATCTGGTGGTATGTAAGGCCCAAGAAGATGTTCCGTATAAATTAGGTGATATGGGAGAAATGTTCCGTATATATTAGGTGATGTGAGAGAGATGTTCCGTATATATTAGGTGATATGGGAGACTGAAACTGAAGATGTAGTGGTATGTAAGGCCCAAGTAGATGTTCCGTATAAATTAGGTGATGTGGGAGAAATGTTCCGTATATATATGGTGATGTGGGAGAGATGTTCCGTATACATTAGTTGATGTGGGAGACTAATGGGACATCTCTGTTGTGAAAGTATTCGTTGTAACGTACTAGTACCTCAAATAACATTACCTATCATGAAAGTATCGCCATGCTTCCTTGCACTAAGTCTGATTTCTTAATGTGAACAGGAGCAAGAACTGAAATATACGTTTGCATTTATTCGTAAGAATACGTACCGATATAAATAAACAAATTAAAATTACTTTTTAATTTTATTATTGAACTTCACTTCGAAACTTTTATTGTTTTGGAACATTGAATATTTCAGTCACGGAATGCGAATCTGTGGAAGGTTTAAGTGAATACTGCGATCTTGGTTGTTGTTATATCAAAACAATGAACCCTTGTTGTGTGGAAGAAAAGCAACCAGTAAAAACGTAAGATTCTTTACTTAACTGATTCTTAAGTTATTTGAAAATCAACCTTCGACATATAACTTCTTTTATAGTATCTTAATAGCCATTACAGTGTTGTTTTTTTAAGTAGGCTAAAATAAGTTATCTGAATAATTTTCAAAAAACTCATTTCTTTGCAGCCCACTGACTGGTTTTGTTATAGGTGGAATTGTCGTAATGTGTATCATATTGTTTCTTATTGCTTATGTCGTCTGTTTGGACAGAAAACTTTCAAAGACTCCTAGAAGATTAACAGGTAACATATTTCTGTTTTTACATTGATAATGCAATAAGTAATCTTTATTTATTTACATCGCATCATTGTACAGACATTTTATACACAACGTTAAAAACAAAATCTACAACTTATAAGTACAATGTCACTCCAACAAGATGAAAAACAATATCACATTGTTAAAATACATTAAAATAAAAAAAGATTATGTGTTAAAACTGAAAAACCATTGCTATCCATAAATTAACAGACTTAAACATCGTGACTTACTACCTGATGAAGGAATTAATAACATTAAAACTACTGAGAATTAAAATAAATGTAATAAATAAGTAAAATAATGATTTGCTTCAGTTAAGACTACTAAGAATAGCAGTAGTATTTCATACAGATTTAAAAGATATAGTCCTCCAAAGCTATTTACACTTTAAACCGGCATCTTTGTAAAATAATAAAACAGAGTTTGGCACGTATATAAGTCATATCTGGTTTTGAAAACAGAAAATAGTATTTGTCATAATCAAATAAAGTCGAAAAAAAAACGGTTATTTAAAAAATATGCTTTATATTAGTGAATAAATTCTGAAATTATGCCTTATATAATAATAATAATAATAATAATAATAATAATAATAATAATAATAATAATAATAATAATAATAATAATAATAATAATAATAAAACAAGAGGGCCATGATGGCCCTGAAGTCGCTCACCTGTAAGTCTTTGCTATACACATAAAAAGAAAATCAATGTCCCCCAGAGCGGGGCCAATTTTGACCCCAGGGCTTTTATTTGAACAAACTTTGTAGACACTCACTAGAAGATGCTTCATGCTTAATATCTAAACTCTAGCTATTTGAGTTTTTTTCAAAGGAGATTTTTTTTAAAAATTTTGCTATACACATAATTATAAGGAAAATAGATAACCCCCGGGGTGGGGCCAATTTTGACCCGAGGCTTTTATTTGAACATTTTTTGTAGAAACTCACAAGAAGATGTTTCATGCTTAGTATCTAATCTCCAGCTATTTGTTTTTTTTTTGAAAGAAGATTATTTAAGTTTTTGCTATATACACACAAAAGGAAAATCAATGAACCCTGGGGCGGGGCCAATTTTGACCCAAGGGCTTTTATTTGAACAAACTTGGTAGACATCCATTAGAACATGTTTCATGCTAAATATCTTAGTTCTAGCTCTTTGGGTTCTTAAAAGAAATTTTAAGTTTTTACTCTATGCATATAGGGAAAATCAATGACCCCCTGGGGCGGGGCCAATTTTGACCCATGGGCTTTTATTTGAACAACATTGGTAGACATCCATTAGAACATGTTTCACGCTAAATATCTTAGCTCTAGCTCTTTGAGTTCTGAAAAAGAAGATTTTTAAGTTTTTACTATATGCATATAGGGAAAATCAATGACCCCCTGGGGCGGGGCCAATTTTGACCCAAGGGCTTTTATTTGAACAAACTTGGTAGACACCCATTAGAAGATGTTTCATGCTAAATATCTTAGCTCTAGCTCTTTGGGTTCTTTAAAAGAAGATTTTTAAGTTTTTACTCTATGTATATAGGGAAAATCAATGACCCCTGGGGCGGGGCCAATTTTGACCCCAGGGCTTTTGTTTGAACAAACTTGGTAGACACCCATTAGAAGATGTTTCATGCTAAATATCTTAGCTCTAGCTCTTTGTGGTTTATTTAAAAGAAGATTTTTTAAGTTTTTACTATATGCATATAGGGAAAATCAAAGACCCCCTGGGGCGGGGCCAATTTTGACCCCAGGGCTTTTGTTTGAACAAACTTGGTAGACACTCACTAGAAGATGTTTCATGCCCTATATATAGAAGCTCTAGCTCTTTTGGATTTTTAAAAGAAGATATTTAAAGTTTTTTCTTTTGGTTGGAGTTCTGCATGGAATGGAATTCTTTGAACAACTTTGTTAAGGCTTCACACAAGGAACATCCCTGTGAAGTTTCATTATGATCTGCCTTATGGTTTCAGAGGAGATGTCGTTTTAAAAGTGTGAACGGACAACGGACGACGTACGACGGACGACAGACGACGGACGAACAGTGATCCTAATAGCTCACCCTGAGCATATGTTCAGGTGAGCTAATAATAATAATAATAAAATCTTTATTTATTGAAAATAACATAAAAAGTTCACAGTAAGAAATATTCTTTTTTCAGTATGGCCTTTTGATTTAACAATAACAAAGAAAAAATGTAGATCTATACAAATATTTAAAATCTTTTGGTATATAAAAAAAATATTTATATTATTTATATTCTTGAATGTAAAGGTGAGATATTTTTTATTCATTCATCCGATTGACACATAGAGCAATTCAAGATTACATGTAATTCACTTTCTATAATAACAGTATTACAAAAGGGACATTGCTTGTGAATGACCTTGCTCTGGTAAACCTTTATACCTCCAAGTTTCAATCCTTATGAGACGATCCAAATACTAAATTTACAAAATGCAGATGACTAGGCCACGGGGGTTTAAATGTTAAGCATCTTTTGGTGGTTAAATTGCGTGAAAACTCTATATTTTGAGTCTGTTAAGCGACATTTTCTTCATACGCATTGCATGTTTTCGGTACAACAGAACCCACGACGGTAATAATATCTCGATGTAGAGTGCATTAAAATCCGAACCAAAAATGGGTTAATTTAGAGCAAAGTCAGGAGGGTAGAATCTCATTTCGATTTTCTTTAAAAAAGTTTTGAATTTCATATAAATTTTTAAAAATTTGAAAACATCTGGATCAGCGGAAATCCACATACATTGTTTACGATGCTCAATTAAGAGATCCATAAGGGGTTCCACCCCCGTGTTGGCGGTGATACATGTTTACAATATTTTTCTATTTCATACTCAGTTTCAAAATTAATATACTTTCTTTACACTCGATATTTATTACGCCCACGACCAGAGGGCCAAGCAAACCCAGAGATTACTTAAAGTTTTGCTTGGCGAAAAAAAACACACGAGGTAAAGGACTGATAAAACTGGTATACATATGTAAATCATTGAAATATTAAAGTGCATTGATCTACACTGGGCGCATTCTCCATATGTATTTCAAATGTTGATAAAACAAATTAGAAATGTAATCACTATCATTTTGGATATTCTTATAAATAATCACTTGAAAAAAAAAATGTTTATTAAGTTCTGTGTGATTTCGTATAAATATTAATGTGATGAATAATAATATTTTGTTCTAGAACAGTTCATTATCTGTTATATTGATAATATAAAATATCGGATCATGTATCTCATACTTGCCCACAGCAACCATATGTCATTCATCGTGGTTTTTATTTGTTTGGGTCGTCATACCAAACAAATAATGGTAGCGAAATTTCAGACTCTAATGCTGTTAATTGCAAGTGCCGAAAGTAGTCCGCTTTTTTGAAGCGGTTACTTCCCTTTATATGTAACACTTTGGCCGAAAAAATAGGGGAGATCACTGCGTAAATATGGTCACATGACAGGCGGATTAATTTTCAAGCAAAATAATTCCCGAATGGTCGAAGATTTCTAATATTGTTTTATTCTTTATAAATAAACATGCTTATAGTAAGCGCCATGATTATTTACACAAGTGTGAAAGAACAGTTAACGTCGTTACAAACCCTAAAAAGAATAATAAGGTTTTCTTCAGGCCGTTATTATACAAATTCACCGTGGCCGAGGGGTTTGCGCGCTCGCTTAGAAAGCGAGAGTTCTGAGGTTCAAATCCCAATTACGGAAACTCATTTTTTTTCAAATTGTTTAAGTCAAATAAACATTGGATCGAATATCAGTGTTGCAATTAGTCTTATAGCCAATCTACTACAATTAAAACGCTGGAAAGCATTGGTGGCACTATACAAAAACAAATTGTTTTATAATCTCAGAACCTTCACCTTTCTGACATTCTGAGACCCAAACAAATTCAGCGCCATCTGTGCTTTGATTATAAAGTCTGATACTAAATATTATCAATATTTGTATTACAGACCCCCTATTACAGACCAATTCACTTTAATGACAACTTCTCGCGACTAGCTTGATTAATAACATGCCGAATGGACAGACAGTGTCGTTGCATCGTATGGCACACCACCAATCGTTTTAGGAAGCTAGTAATAGTCACGATTTAACATTTTGTATTTTAGGTAGATGGCAATAGGCGATAGTTGGTGTTCTCTGTCAGGAAGATAGTATAATTCGTGCTTAAACATTGTCTGTGTCCGTATCATTCTTGGAAAAGCTTATATTGTATAGCTTTTAGTTGTTTGTTTTACATTAATATTTTGTTTTTGATTTTTTTTTCAGATGGAGGAAACGGTGTTGGCTCACTTTCAGTAGTTTGTGAAAATGCGTAACAAAAAAACTAACATCATGACTTCATGATTTTCTTATTAAAGTCTTTAAGACCGATCAGATAAGTAATACCTGAACAATGCTTTACTAATCAATTTATGATTAAATTAAATATGTTTTCAAATTTCAGTTTGAAATTTCATTATGAAATGCTGTAAAAATGCTTTTGCACGATGCCATGATATAATACACAAGTTATTCGTGTCAGTCTAAATTTACCAGGATTTACAATATGAAGTGCTATATACAACTGATAGTGCAAAAGTAAATTACTTTGGAAATTATATAATATAATAATATAAAGAATGTAGTTTGAATCATAATGTATATCAATTAGATTAAACAGGACTTATACTGTTTTTTTCCTTTAATTTAAATTTTATACGAGTATGTACTCATCAACATGTATTTCGATAGATATATGAATACTAGTGTATCACAATTAGCTTCCTAGTACTCGGAGAATAAATTATAATTATAAATTATAGTTCAGTTTGTTTTTTAAGTCTATGTTTTCATTATATTAATATACAAATGTAATTATTGATGGTACAAAGGACGAATTTTATGATGGACCATTTGCATGATATCGCATTAAAGTATGTTACAACAGGATCCCTTTAGACATGGTGAGATGAATGATGCAGTACTCTAAAGATATGTTGGATTATGGTGCGATTCCCATTTACTTCGAAGTTTATGAACAACTTCAGACGGTAACGGGGCTTGCAATCAATGCTGTTTTGTGATGATGTCTTGTTTTTTATTGACAATCTAAAGATAAAACCTACTTCTGCTCATTTAACAAACTATCTAAATTCCACATCGGCGCGAGTGGGTTTGAATTAGGCGGAGTCTTACAAAAAGAGCAAGAAGACAGAACGTTTCATTGCAAATGACTGTAGAGCTTAATCTATAAATAATCATAAATTATGGAGTTTCTGGCTATAACATGGTCAGTTTGTGTAACAACTTTAATAGCAACTATCTGACATATCTTTTGTCCCCTGCTAAGTTGGACGGGAAGGGACATCGTTGATATGTGTGCTTTTTGCAAATGATTTTAAAATCATGTGTAAATTCATGAAAACAGAATCAATATTGTGATGCGTTATCTCACAGATTACAACTCTTTAACAGAAGATTTTACTGCTTCTATTTCAATGTTGAATGTTGCTCTTGGTGTAAGGACCACCATCTTGCCAGCTAAATATCTTTTAGAGAACTGGGGAAGTTTAGAACAAACAAAGCACATTTAAAATACACTTTTTTCTACTATTTCGATAATCCATTCTGGTTCTCGTCCGAGGGGTGAGGAAGGAGATATGGAGATGAAAAGATGTCAAATGTCTTCGTGTCCTCAAGCACTTATCCATTGATAATTGGGTTCTCAATACAGCCGCCACTCTGGATGGTGTAAATGTGCAACATGTCATTTCGTTTTTTATAAATAAAAATCGCTTTCAAAGTGGGTTGATGACGATGTTGGTGAACATCCAGGTCTGGTAAATCTTTTTTAGTTTTCTTTTTATTCTTTTGTTGTATGAATATATACAACAGATGATAAGCTTTTTTTTAAATACAGGTTACATGCAAGAGAACTTTCAATCAATGTAAGAATACTCTTAACGACTCAATTTTGTCATACGTGACTTCTGTTCATTAAAAAAAACCCACAAAGATAGATAATGAAAATGCTTTATTGATATTATTGTCATGTCGTGTCAGCAACAACTCATTTTACTTTCAACAATAATATAAACAATACATCAACTAAACGTTCATGTTTTATCTACAACAGCATTTTCTAGCATCATTTTCAAGTCTAAAAAACATTTTCTACAAACTTAAAAAAAACAAGAGTACGATGTCAAAGTGGAGCAGGTTGGAAAAAGGGCATTCTGAACTTCAATGGTTACCAAACAGGTGCATTTCTGGTAAGATACCAAATTAGGTAGGAATGGCATTATTAAGGGTAGGTACATTGTTGCCATGTTGCTCCATTAAGTATGTGCAGAAAATATTCTTATAAGAATTTTGTCATTTTCAAAATTCTTATTGCTTCAAAATGTTGACATGAACTCCTCTGGAGAAAATTGCCAAACAAAATAAAATTTTGATCATATGTTACAACCAATAATCCTCAAAATGGCATTTATTTGAAAGTCAAAATTAACTAATTTTTTTAAAAGCAACAGCCAGTACGACCATTTTCCAGTCTGCAGCCCCCTTGTTTTGACTAATTTATCTATACAACATATCTGCATTTTGGCAAATTATGATGTATAAATAATAATTGGTTAACAATTACACACGGAATAGTATAAAAATATAACATATATCACAGACAAAGCATTTTGGGTTCTAAATACTTAAGTTATTGTTTTTGACTGTTGTAAATTTTTAACTGAAACAACAATTTTTTTTTTTGGTTAATCATTTTGATAAGATAGAATTAATGTATTTTGTTATTGAAAAAATTATCTTTACAATTGAAGTGGAACTTAAACAAAATAAGCCTTAATAGTGAAAATAATTCAATAGAAAATTTCTTTGTTAAAAAATAAAATGATATTAAAATGTTCAACTTTTCTCATACTTTTGTATCAAATGTCTTAAATCTTTCAATGAGTGCCTTAAACAGAGACATAGTTTAAACGCCATGCCCAATTGCATATATTATTTTTTCACTCCCTCCTATCGCAAGCTTTACATACTTTTCAAATAAACATCTGACTTTTACAATAAAACATTGTTTCTAACTGATAAATAAGTGTTCAACATGTGACATGGTAAAGGCTCATTAAACAATGTTCATTTAACTTGAATTCTGTAATCCTGGTCTAATCCAGTCACTCCTCATTATTTGAAGTTGGTCTACACTTTCAGAAAACCTTAATTTACAACCCCCTCCCCCTTTAACAATAAAATAATGTCCAATGGAACAATCCATAGTAAAGACATACAGACGAACAGCACTATATGATGTAAACTTAACTACACAATATAACAATCATGTAAATAGAAATTCATATGACCAAGTTGTGATTCACACATTTACATTTCAAATAATTAACAGCAACATTTTTACCCAATAAAAACAGACATTGATCTGCACACAGTCAAACATGCATACTTGAATACCTAAATATAAATACCTACTTCTCTACATCATATCACACATCATATTTTAACAAATGATTCTGGAGAAATTAAATAACAATGTGTGTTGATAAGGTATGGTAAATTTGTATATTAAGAAGTATCTGTGTTAGATCATTTCCAACAACATGTGAAAATAATAAAATACGGTAAAATGATTATTTTATTACATGCTTTTCGGTGGTTTATAGAAATATATCAGTGATATAAAATTGGTAATTTCACTGTTTGAAACAGTGAAATTACCACTTTGATAATTTCACTGTTTTGAATTTAAGCCCCTTACGTTGTTTCAGTGAAATACCAGCGTGCACAGTACTGGGTACCAACTTAATGACGTGACGTCGTAAATGACGTCACGTTGTATTATTATTTGGCGCGCTTTTCATTCAGTATTAGGTTTAATGTCTTTTTAAAACGTTTCTTTGCATGTAATAAAAAGAAAATTTGTTTAGTTTAGTGTAAGATCGAAATATATTTCACCTTGTGAATACCAAAAGTTCATATTTCACTCGTGGCTGCGCCACTCGTGAAATATACCTTTTGGTGCTCACTCGGTGAAATATATTCCGATCTTACACTGAACTAAACAAATATCCTCTATTTAATTGAAAATGTATACGTTGATTTCGAAACGGGGAGGTCTTGAAAATATCTAGTAGAAAATGAGTATACCTCATTGCAGTAATAATTTCCACATCTGTTACAAAATGATATTTCTTGGTCCAACTATCTGTTGTCAGTTTGAAATATAGATAAGAGCTGTCTGAGGAGCAGCACTCTCCACTTATCTCAATACACGACAGGTAGAACTCATCAAGGTGTATCCAAATTGGAAGTTTCAGTGTTATAACTTTATAAGTACTGAAGAAGTGATATGAAGTAAATGACCATAAAGGAAAACTTAACTAGGAAGATTAACCAATGCCAACCCCTAGAATTTGGTCATAACAATACCCCAACCTTTTCCTCTTCAAGAAGACGAGCTAAAGAAAACACCCAAAACTCTTATTTGATTCATTCATAGCAATCTAATCTACCCTGTAACAAACAAATATCAGTACAGAAAAATATCAACAACATTTGGTATAAAAATTGTAACTTGAGACAGGTTTGTGTAGAAGGAAACAAAAAAACAAAACACAAAAACAAAAAGCCGAACAGCAATATACAGTGTCAACCAAAACAGGTTTAACACTGTCAAATAAATTAATGATATAACTGTGAAAACAAAAAATAATATACAACAAAAGCTCTTATGAGATTCAATACTAGGTCAGTAATATCACAAAAAATATTTTAATATTTAAATAATTATTACAAATATATATGAGTCGCGTCATGACAAAACCAACATAATTTGTTTGTGACCAGCATGGATCCAGACCAGCCTGCGATCCTCGCAGTCTGATCAGGATCCATGCTGTTGGCTTACAAACACTATTACAAGTAAAGAAAATGATAGCGAACAGCATGGATCCTGATCAGACTGCGCGAATGCGCAGGCTGGTCTGGAGCCATGCTGGTCGCAAACGCATTACTTGGTTTTGTCATGGCACGGCTATTATTACAAACACAGTTAATGATATAATCAAAACTCAGTTTCTGGTTAATACTAGTAAGTCACAAACTCATAAAAAAACAGCAAGACTTTTATTGCATACTTTCACAGCAGAATGAAGAGTATCATACAAACTGAAAACACAGATTGTGATACATGGCAGATTGCATACTGCAAACTAACATTTGCAATTATGAAACTTTTGGGGAAAAAAATCATTTTCTAGACAAGGTGATAATTTTTATATCTCTAGAATAACCAGGTCTCATCTGTTGAAGAATACTCTCTTACTAGCCAGGCTTGACCAACAAATTATAAAAGTAACTGTTGAATATCAACATCTGCATGTTTCAAAGATCCTTTTTTTATCAACAGGGTGTGACCAGTATACAAATTGAAAAATATATGGAATGTGACATTTTTTTCTAAATCTTAGTGTTAGCATGTCATAAAAATCATTGGAAGCTATAAACAGCAGTATTTACAATGATTATCTTACAGTATGTACCTCTACATGTATGAATGTCAGCTTATGTATGCTATGGTTTTACAGAGAATAAGTTATCCCTGCAGATATTCTGAGATTTTGATAATTAAAAAACAACATGATAGCAAAAACTAAAAGTCCTGAAAAAAGGTACATTTGTCAGAGAATTTATTCCTGTCACTATATAGTGCTCAATTTTCTTATACTGTTGACCGATTGATCAAAACGTCCACTTTATTGAATTTATAACTTCTGTTTTATTGAATTTATATTAAGTAAAAAATGCATCTGGATGAATAATGTCAGAAAAACTACCTTTGAGCTTAACTTACTCTTAAATTCGTTTGAAAGTTTAAAGTACGAAAAAAAGATTTATTAAAAAAATTCAAACTGCCTTTGCATCAAAACTCAACAAATCTTTACATTAAAATGAACTTTAGAACAATAGCAACAATTCCCATATCACCCCCAACACTTAAACATACCAACAGGAGAAAACACAATTTACAACTATCAATTCTCAAATGCAATAAAGACATAGATCAATTAAAATTTGTCTCACCATTATGCAGTTAATGTGTCAAAAATGAAAAAATAAAAAGCAAGGAAAAATAGATACATAGTCATGTTAACAAATGCATAAATAATTAAATATAGTTCATCAACAGTTGCAAACAATGTATTCCAAACAAATATTTATTTTCCTATTTTTTATATTACATCTAATAATAATCCTATTTATAAATAACAATGAGATAAAGTGTAGTCTTAACACAAAATGTTTATTTTCTCTAAGTCTATATATTAGAATATCAGCAGATCAATTAAAATCATACTGATAAAGAATGTTCATTGTACTTAAGTCAGTTATGGAAAGTCAACACAATATGTTGTAATGGGTTTAAATACTGGTTACATCTCCCACTTCAGAATGTCATATGCCTTCAAACTGGCTAGAATTATGTACAAACACCACAGTCCAAACAGAAATAAGCTGCTACCCACTCTTACAACGGCATTCTCTCCCCCTAGTTCTCCTCCAACAAACTGTAATAGAAAATAACAATAGTGTCTTTCTCCATATTTTCTACATAAACTGAATGGCATGCACTTGCTTCAAATCTTTAAATACCTCAATTATTAATGTCAGGTACTTTATTTTAAGATTTGATAACATACAATTGCAAAGACTATGAGGTCTGGTCAGACAGCATAAAAATATATTATTCTTGCATATCAGACAGGATTATCTACCGCTTACACTGGTGCTAGATAACTCTATCTTACACCCCCCATGTAAGACAAGTCGCATGCTTTAAATGACGTCATTGACGCGCGCCTTTTATGAATGAATTGCGTCTTTGGATGACGTCATTTTACCGTTATGAATGAAGTTGTAAGTTCATACGCTACTATAATAAAAAAGTGCGCAATAAGAATATCAGTTTTCATAATTTCTGTTCTGAAAATAATTGATATGTTATATGCAAGAAAAAGAATCAAACACCGGCTGTCGGTACAGACGGGAATATCTAGCTCTCAGGTAACTGTTTAGCGGAAACTCGGCAGAGCCTCGTTACCACCGTAAACAGTTACCATCGAGCTAGATATTCCGGTCTGTACCGGCAACCAGTGTAAGATTCTTATAATATTTCATAACAGGCTTTCTTGCTGGTCCAGGAAAGTTCCCTGCATGCCTTTGAAAGGTTAAATTCATATATTTCTTCCCTTGATTAAAATACTAGTGTAAGCATTATAGTTTCCTTTTTTACAATATATCTACAGAATAAAATGTAAATATACCTTCCGTCTAAGTATCAGCAATATTATACAGATTGTTCCAACTGTACTGAAGATGATAACACTCTGTGTTAAGTTGTCTGAGGCAACTCTGAATGTAGTGCCCTTTGCTAGATGGTACATAGTACTCAGTACCCATGGAATGCCAAGACCAAGGAATACATTCACACTGTTACTGCCTGTAAATAAAATATATTGATGAAGTAAGTGAACCGTTCAAACGGTTTGACATAATGAAAGATTTGAATTCACTATATTTATATATATAACCAATATTACTAAACATAAATTCAATTTTCAGGGCAAATCTTGCTGATTCATTTTACTAACACTTTTAAAATGAAAAAAACTAACCATTGTGTGCCATTATAATTTTTCTTAAAGCTAAAGGATACTGAGACAGTAAAACAATTAAAACAATGTTCAAATGGTAAGTATGAAATGTCAAATTTTTCAATAGCCCTATATTCAACATACTGATATATAACATTTACATGTATTGGATAATCTGACTGAAATGAAGGATGACTGTATGAACTATTGCAAACTGAGATAATGAACAAACCTGTAACATTTCCAATGGCTGCATCAGCATGTTCATCTTGTTTTGCAGCAGTACGACTTGCAAATGTATCTGGTAAACTAGTTCCCAATGCTATTATAGTGATACCAGTTACACTTGTCTTTAGACCTATCACACAACCTATCAAATGACCAAGCTGAAAAAAAACAAATAACCATTAAAGCACAAAGTCAATAAAACATTTGTGTGTACTGTATTTTTGGGTCTGGCTAAACAATCATTCACTTATACAGGAGCTCTTGTTATCTCATAGCATAACTTTATATAATTTCACTAAAATATCATTTAGTTTGATACTGACAATTGATTGAGATATCACAGCATATAGTACATGATTTGAAACTACATATTTACAAAATCAAGAATATGTAATATTAAACTAATTAAATTGAGCAGGAGGTGGTATTTTCTTGTAATACCGCAAAGCAATGCAAAAACTATCTACAGTCAAACGTGTATTAAGCGACCGGGCAAGGGAAACACCCAAAACGGTCGCTTAATGAAACGGTCTCTTAAGACAGTCAGCATGATATAAATGTCAAAATTTATAAATGACATCTTTTTTATTCGGTGAAATTGTTTTTCAACTTCATTTTTATATAAATGTTGAAAAAAGTACGCTCCGATAATCTAAACGGATGGAAATGTAAAAAATAACTTTCTGATATTTATTGACAAAACAGTTTCAAGATCCATCACGTACATGTTTGACATTTTTTCCAGAATTGTTTAACTTCTCCGTTGTTTTTCCTTGTCTCCAACACGAAAACCCTATTAGTGAAGATGTTTTATGTTGTGCATTTTTTTCATTTGAAATAAACAAACTACATCTATCTGTTACGATTAATTTAATGGCTGATCAAGTTCAAGGTCAATTCAATGCAGTCTAAATGTCAACAAGCGAAGCGTGTACACCATCTCAGTATGGGCGGAGCGTTGCATTGTTTATCCGATATTATTGGATAATACACGTCACGCGTATACTTAACTTCATTTGCATACGCTAAAACGGTATGGGAAATAGAGTTTTTCACACGTTTATTGTTGTGTTTTGATTGTTGACACTTGTGACATAACGAGGTGGCGTTCTCTAAAAACACAATTACTTGACAGGTAAAAGTGGTCGTTTAATGAAAAGATTGATGTCAATTAGGTGGCTAATTAGCGGTCGCTGGTCGCGTTGAGCAAAAGTCGCCTAATACATTAAAGATATAGAGAGAAAATGATCGGGGGGAATTTAAAGTGGTCGTTTAAGACAAAAGTCGCTTAATACACGTGGTCGCATGGGCAAGTTAGACTGTATATTGGTGGAATATGTTTTTCATTATCACCAATAGTGCTAAATGAGACAATGTTTTAACAGATGGCTTATTCTCTTAACTTACCTGTTCTACAACCATTGTTAGAACAGCAATGTAACACAGAGAAAACACAAATGTTGGCCAGGCTCCCCAATATCTCCTAAAATAGCATAAACAGCATTACAAAGTAGATAATGTGACAGAGGTGAGTATTTACATCTTTTTTAAGCAGAAAACATCAAAATTGTCTAGGAAGTTGAGAACAGTCTGAATTACCAGACAGCAAGTGGTCTTATATCAGTCATTTCACATCTGTTGCTCCACAGCTCTCTAAAGAACACATTATCCTATAATTATATTAACCATATAAAGTTGGCCAGACCAAACTGGATCTAAACACAGTTTCTTTGTGTGTAGAATGTGGCACCTAGTATAATATCCAGACATTGCAAATTTGTTTTCTAAAGAATAACAAAGTTTCAAATCCAGACAAAAACTGCTTAGCTGTAATAGTCTATTATGAGATATAAGAGGTAATGTAATTATAACACTTTAAACTTGCTTGATTATAGCAGTATCTTAAATTATTCATCATTGATGAAATATGTAACAAAAAAGAAGACAAGAAAGGAAACTCACTCGAGAAAATACTGACAAAACTGAATGAAAATTGATTTTAGTATTTCCTTTTCAGATGCACCTTTCATCAATAACTAGTGTAAATGTGGCAAATTTCATCACTTTGGTATCTCAATATAGTATACTTTACCAGTATTTACAAAAAAAAAGACATTCTGGCCAGTAAATTTTTACAACTTACTGGAGCTAAGGACAATAATCCGCCCGGGAAAAACAATGAGCAATAGTGTAACCTTCTAGTGCTTGCGGGGGTTTAACAAACTTGATACTATCACGTTACTCCATTGTTTTTTATTTGCAATGACTCAATAAATCAATCTTATTGAGACACTGGTATTTTAGAATATAGAATAGTGAAGGGGAATGAAAAGGTTGACTTACGTTGGGGGGACACATGCACCAACAAGTTTCCAGAAGAATGTAAGGAAATGCAGTAGATAGTCAGTCCAGCTTGGTGGAATTTCATTACCATCATCATCAGTATCACCTCCTACTGTCATAGCACTGGATATAGAAATTAAACACAAACAGTAAATCTTACAAGCCAACATATGAATGAAATAAGACATAAGGTAAAACAGCAGATATTACCTGTTAATTAATCAGCATTTAACAAACAAAAATAACAAAATATCTGCTGATAGTAGTTCTTCAGCAAAAAAAAACACCATTAATTCATCTTAAGAATGAGGCACAGATCTGAGCTCATTGTCAAATATATATCTTAGAACTAACAGCATAACACCTGGCATCACTTGTATATGGGTGAATACCAGCCAGTTTCTTTAAAGCTATTTTTTAAACTACTAGAAAATCCTGAAGAAAAAAGGAATCCATTTACAGAAAAATGTTCATAGTTGTAAAAACACTGTCAAAAGTGTGCTAAATTCTGTTTTAACTAGCATTTAAAATTGACAAAAATTATGAAAAATTTGATACAATGTACAAATAGAGCCTTAATTCAGTAACAGGTAAAAAACTGGTTTATTTATTAATATTTCAACAAAAGCAAAATAATTCAGATATTGCATTAAGCATGCAAAGCATTGCATGAATTGTGAATATTTATAGTATACAAAAGTATACATTACTTACACTTAACATATTTTAGGCAGATTTTTTTATCAAATTTGTAAACACCTGTTGCAGCATACTGTTTTAAGCTATAAAGACTCCTTGTAAAGGACAATAACTCTGATGAAAGATCATATAACAGGAAACACTAACCTAACAAACTGGCCTTTCCATGTAGCCTCTTCCTCCTCATCTTCAACAATCTCTCTCAATCTATCACCTAACTCATCTGTAAATAAATTACATCACACTTTTGTTAATACATTATCACAATCTACATTCAAGTTTACTTTCAACGGGCAACAACCAGAGACTAACAACAAAGTTTTTTCTGGGTTTAACAATGACACTATAATGTGGACAATGGTCGTTTGTGAAGGAAGACTGGAGATATCCACTATCAAAGATAGAGCACTTTTCATGCACTTTTTTTCAGTAATAATCAAAGTAATGGGTACAAGTGCACTTTTCATGCACTTTTTTTTAGTAATAATCAAAGTAGTGGGTGCAACAACTAACAGACAGAGCTCATTTGCTTTCAAATATGTATAATTAAACGTCCAAAGTTGGAATAGTTTCTACAGCTGTGAAGATAGAATAATTTGATATTTACAAGTCAACTAATTATCATATACTTCAAAATTACTGGATAAAAAATTTACAAGTGTAAGAACAATTAACATAATGATATAAGTCATTACCTTTGGTTATATTACACACAATAGCACTTCTTGTGCCAATCTTAGCTCCAAGGCTAGGGTTCTTCAGAGTTATGATGAAATTTTTTGGACCCTGGAATAAATAAAGAAGTGTTAAAATTCAACTGCCTAATGTATCTGTACAGTCAAGCTGATAATGGGAATTTATAAGCAAAATAATAAAATAGGATACTATTTATTAATTTCTAGAAAACTTTTGTGCAAGACTATAATAATAGGACAAATACACACAAAACGAAATAACTGTTCTTCAATCTATGCATTAATGTAAATTAGATTAGCTCCCTTTGACCATTTGTAAATGTCAATTTCATTGCATTATTTCAATGCCAATTTAATATGTTGTAGTCTATCAGTATAAATCTTAATATTTACAAAGAACTTCTACTTTAAATCCTTGTTTAATTTAATTTTCAAATAATGTAGCAGAATAATACTTAGTTACAGAATTACTAATAATAAATTGATATAAAAAATCAGTATAATGTAATGATTTTCTATTGAAATATATGCTTCAAGAATTTGACTAAACAAATCTGAATAACAAATTAGAGCTAGTTTGTGTAAAAGTTTTAAAAATGATTACACTGGTATGATATATCCCTGTATCTCCATTACTAAAGCTACAATGTAAATATCAGGCAAGATAAAAAACTATTGTCTTTTTTTTTCACTACTGTTTTTTTCTCTTTCTCTATCAAAGCTTGTCATTGAAGTAAAATCTTGAATCAAATACTGATTTTTCTTTCTCTCTCCCTTAAATACAATTTATATTCTTGCCTGATATTTATAAGCTAGCAGATAAGAAGTACCATTTCAACCATTATACAAGAAATTATTGACCACTATGTTTTAAAATGACCCTCAATAATAATGATTAATATGTCTGATTCTACTGCAGTTTTTCGTGCAATTTATAGTCTTGTCTGCAATGAAATGTCATGAGCAATATCATAATTTTGTAAATGATTACAGGTGATTCTTCAGATACTCTCTCTGCTGTTTTATACTTTTAGATAACCTTGAAGTGGTGCAATATTGGGACTTTTCCTGATTTGAATCACAAACTTCCCTGCATTCATTTAAAAATATATGTTTACTGTATATACACATTAACAAAAAAAACAACAAAACAAAAAAAAAACATTAACAAAAAACACAAAACAGTTTTACAAACAAATTATAAGAATGGTATAAAAAAAGAAGAAAAGAAGAAAATATTTGTACCTTAAGATATGGTGTCTATTAATGAAATAAAAATATGAATTTTAAATTCTATGAATATTCAGCAAGTGCATTGTAACATGGCCTACAGACCTGAGTCAAATCTTAAATTCATGAATGAAAACGGAGAAATTCACATGTTTAAAAGTTGAACTTTGTGTATTGTAAAGCACTAACAGTGATAATCACAACTCAATAAGCTGTTTTGAGGATTAATTTCAAGCACCATTTAACACATCTATGTAGAAAGTAGCTAATATATCTTAAAAGTCAGCACTTAGGGTTCCTGGTGAAGACAAAAACTGGTGATTTTATTGTATTATTTGAAAATCACAAAAAGTATCATTTATTTTATATGGACATAGATATGATAGTTGGCATTTTATTGACCCTACCACAGAACCATTAAGAAAACAGCCTTATATGATCATGACTATTTTAACAGCATGTAACAATAAATCAAACTTTATCAAAAACATATTTGGTTTATTGATCACATGTTATTTAATCTGCGTCATTGGAACATTGTCAGACATGTGAATGACCTTTTGGCAATACCAGCAAGCTTAAGTCTGCATTATATAACATAAACTTATATATTCAAATTTGGACAAGTTCAGTGTCTGTACTGAAATAAAACTAAGTCTGTACTAAAATAAAACTGACGCGGTCATATGCAAAATTATAGCAATATGTTGATATCATGAAAATTTTAAATTGAAAAAGGCTTTAAAAAAATAGCAGTGTTTCTTTAAAAGCTTTTTTTTTTAATATATGCTGATATATTTCATAAACTTGTTTAGGTAATAATTGATATACCAATGATTATACAGTATATTGGACAGAAAGGCAACTTTATTTTAAAGATATATAATATTAAAAATTATTTATGTGGAGAAAAATGCTTCTTCTACTTTGTATTTAGTGAAATGGTGGCAGAATAAATTTTTTTACTTACATTATATACATGTTTTATTCTATTACACATGCAGAAAAAAAGATAAGTGCTTCTAAGAAACCTGTTATAGACTTGAGAATATAATACAGGAAAATATTGTGCAGCCAATATGGACAATATATATTTCAAATGTTATGTTTGCAGGAGATAAGAAATTCTTACTTTTCATATACTTTTTTGTAAAGGCTATCTTACATTTGTGAGAGAAACAATTTGTGCAGTATTTCTGAGAGACTGTACTGGTATAAATACCACCTAAAAGCGTGATGTTGATGTGTTCAGAAATATCTCTACTTGTTCATAAATGTCTACAAACAAGCAGCTTATATCACAGAAATGGCAGGAGAGAGTGTAATCATAAATTCAAAATAAGAAGTAAAACAGAAAAGAATATCCTGAATAAGCAGTAAGAAATCCGAATAGAATAAAAATTGCTACATGTGATGTTCAAAAAATAATTGAGTAAAAAAGAAGCTTTTTAAAATATGCAATTGCAGCGCAAAACAAGGTGGCAATATATGTGCCAGGCTCTGAATTTTAAACAGAAACATCTCACCACAAGTATCACTTCACAAAGACACCACTTACCACACTCTGCTAAGGGATAGTGTCATTTTAAACATGGTATTATTGTCACATCACAATTTTCAACATCATTGTTACACAAATTATAAAACAGATTGTTACATTAATTATCATCATACACAGTGTTAAGTACAGCAATACTCCAGAAATATGAATGTTTCACTTTCAATCAATCTAGTAAAAATATTCTCAGTACAGTATTTTAACAGATCTGCTTTTACAGAAAGTCTAATTTTCTAATTCACACTTATAAGATAAGTAACAAGCAATTATCATAGTATTGCAAGCAATCCATAAGTCCCCTACCGGTTAGAACCCCATCAACATTCTGAAGGGCCATAATATTGGCCATTCACTTATGTTTCAATTTTTCTATATTTTAAGTAAATTTGTTGGAAAAGTTCTTTAAAAGTGATCACAGGAAACAGTTTTTATGAACAGACAGACAGACGGACTGAAGGACACTCTAAAGATAATATTTGAAACATCCCTGTTACCAAAATATAACATTTTTAAAAGCAAAATTCTTAAAGAGGAGATAACTCTTGAATTAAAGATGAAATTTCATAAAACTAGAACTATCACTAAATGTGATTAATACCCCCACAAGTCTGCTTCGGAAATGAGGATGTTACTAGCAACAGAATACCTTGTAAAAGAATTGAAACATAGAGTTATGGTTGTGGGCAATTAAAGATAATTGTGGTTCATGTATGTTGCATTTCCTTTCAATGTGGTTGGCCATTGATGAAGTTTAATTGAATTACTCTGTAATAAGTCCAGAAAGACAAAGAAAAAGAACAAAGGGCAATAACTCTATAAATACTGAAGATAGAGTTATAGTTCTTGTGCACTGCACTTCCTCTTATTGTGCTTGACCATTGTATGAAGTTGTTTTGAATTCCAAACAGTAGTTTTCAAGTTATGCTCTGGACAAGGAAAAGTAACAAAGGGCAATAACTCTGTAATTAGTCAAGATGGAGTTATGGTTCTTGTGCACTGCACTTCCCCTTATTGTGCTTGACCATTGTATGAAGTTGTTTTGAATTCCAACCAGTAGTTTTAAAGTCATGCTCTGGACAAGGAAAAGAAACAAAGGGCAGTAACTCTGTAATAAGTCAAGATGGAGTTATGGTTCTTGTGCACTGCACTTCCTCTCAATGTGCTTGACCATTGTATGAAGTTATAATGAATTCCAACAATAAGTCTTCAAGTTATGGTCCGGACAAAAGAAAGCAATGGAAAAGTAACAAAGGACAATAACTCTGTAATTAGTCAAGATGGAGTTATGGTTCTTGTGCATTGCACTTCCCCTTATTGTGCTTGACCATTGTATGAAGTTGTTTTGAATTCCAACCAGTAGTTTTAAAGTCATGCTCTGGACAAGGAAAAGAAACAAAGGGCAGTAACTCTGTAATAAGTCAAAATGGAGTTATGGTTCTTGTGCACTGCACTTCCTCTCAATGTGCTGGACCATTGTATGAAGTTATAATGAATTCCAACAATTAGTCTTCAAGTTATGGTCCGGACAAAAGTGCAATGGAAAAGTAATAAAGGGCAATAACTCTGTAATTACTTTAGATAGAGTTATGGTTCTTATGCACTGCACTTCCTCTCAATGTGCTTGACCATTGTATGTAGTTATATTGAATTCCAACCATTAGTCTTCAAGTTATGCTCCGGACAAAAAAAAGAAGGCAATTGAAAAGGAACAAAGGGCAATAACTCTGTAATTACTTTAGATAGAGTTATGGTTCTTGTGCACTGCACTTCCCCTTATTGTGTTTGACAATTGTATGAAGTTGTTTTGAATTCCAACCAGTAGTTTTCAAGTTATGCCACGGACAAGGAAAAGTAACAAAGAGCAATAACTCTGTAATTAGTCAAGATAGTGTTATGTTTCTTTTGCATTGCACTTCCTCTCAATGTGCTTGACCATTGTATGTAGTTATATTGAATTCCAACCATTAGTCTTCAAGTTATGCTCCGGACAAGGAAAATGCAACGGACAAAAAAAAAAAAAGCAATGGAAAAGCAACAAAGGGCAATAACTCTGTAATTACTTTAGATAAAAGTTATGGTTCTTGTGCACTGCACTTCCCCTTATTGTGTTTGACAATTGTATGAAGTTGTTTTGAATTCCAACCAGTAGTTTTCAAGTTATGCCCCGGACAAGGAAAAGTAACAAAGGGCAATAACTCTGTAATTAGTCAAGATAGAGTTATCATTCTTGTGCACTGCACTTCCTCTCAATGTGCTTGACCATTGTATGTAGTTATATTGAATTCTAACCATTAGTTTTCAAGTTATGCTCCGGACAAGGAAAATGCAACGGACGTCTGGACCGACCGCCCGACCGACCGACCACCGGGTGACTCCTATATACCCCCCCAAACTTTTTTTTGGGGGTATAAAAATTTCAGCTCTTTTTTACTAATCACAAATAATGTTATATTTGCCATGTTTTAAGCCTATTTGTTGCCAAGGCAACCAATATTTTTTCAAAATAGGGAGAACAGATAAGACATGCATAATCTCAAGACTGCCATCTACCCATATGTCAAGTTTCATAAAAATATTTCCAGTACTTTTTGAGTTATCACTGGATTCAGTGTATGTGTAAAATTTGCCATATTTTTAGTCTATGTGTTGCCATAGCAACCAGAATTTTCAACATAGGAAGAAAAGAAAAAGACGTGCATAATCTCCAGACTGCCATCTACCCATATTACAAGTTTCATAAAAGTATTTCTATTACTTTTTGCGTTAACACAGGATCCAGTTTATGTGTAAAATTTGCCATATTTTCAGTCTATTTGTTGCCATAGCAACCAGAATTTTCAACATAGGAAGAAAGGAAAAAGACGTGCATAATCTCCAGACTGCCATCTACCCATATTTCAAGTTTCATAAAAATATTTCCAGTACTTTTTGCGTTATCACTGGATCCAGTTTATGTGTAAAATTTGCCATATTTTAAGCTTATTTGTTGCCTAGCAACCAGAATTTTCAACATAGGAAGAAAAGAAAAAGACGTGCATAATCTCCATACTGCCATCTATTCATATATCAAGTTTCATAAAAATATTTTCAGTACTTTTGAAGTTATCGCGGGATCCAGTTTTGTGGACGGACGGACTGACAGACGGACAGACAGACGGACGGAGGGTAAACCTAAAGTCCCCTCCGGTAAACCGGTAGGGGACTAAAAAGTTCTTCCTAAAATAATCATAGATAGATGTTCTTTTAATTATGTATTCTTGCATAACAATAACAATTCATACATAGCAAAGAGGGGTACTGCATTAAAAAAATCATTTTCAAATGATGGATGTTGAAATTGTTCCACCCTTTAATTAACATGTTGCTAACTTCATTTATTCTTCACAACTTTATCAATAGAAATATACATTGTAAAAAGATAGTGTGAAACATTCATATCTCAGACTAAGTTTTAGTTACATATTACAAGAAAACAATTAGATGTGTTACTATGCCCTGATAGAAAGGACATGATATTGAGGAGCACTGGAATACATTACTTGATAATGTTTGTCTTTCTTGTCAATCAGCTGTCAATGTCAACAAGCATAACGTTTTTCAGAAACTTGTAACATTAATTACACATATGAGCCGTGTCACGACAAAACCAACGTAATGCGTTTGCGACCAGCATCCGCGCAGTCTGATCAGGATCCATGCTGTTCGCTATCAGTTTCTAGTCTTGTTATTTGGTTCGTAAGCCAACAGCATGGATCCTGATCAGACTGCCCAAATGGGCAGGCTGGTCTGGATCCATGCTGGGCCCAAACCCATTATGTTGGTTTTGTCATGACGTGGCTCAATTATACATATACCTAATTATTCTGTATGTTCATTTTTATTTTAAATGAACAATTTGAAGATTTATCTTATCATCTTTCACTAATTAATTTTTGTTGAGTTTAAAGTAACACTGACACTGTTCATAGTAATACAAAGTACTGCTAAGATAAAGAAATAGCTTGGCGCCTATCAGTGCAATATTTTAGGCATGAGAAGGCTTCCTGGTAGAACCACAGACCTAACTAACCTTAAAAAGCTAGATCTCATTTCTATAACAACTAGGAGACAAACAAGTCATAATATCCTAATGTCATTTATTAGGATCAGATATACTTAATAAAACTATTTGAAAGATTGTCTGTTTTGTGTGGGTTTCTTTGCCAGTAGGTACATAATTACCCCTTCCCCTCCTGGAGATAGAGATACTATTCTCAATATTGTAAACAAATGTGTAATTTCAGTTTGATATTCACTATATTTTTGTGTGTAAATTTTGAAAGAAAACATATTCTCTCAGATGAATGTCATTTTTGAATTCTTTCTGGATTTTAAGCATCACAAAAAAGGGGGATACATACATGTAATTATTGAAGAACATGCATTCTAAAGCATTATCAAAGCCTTCATGCAATTGCCAAAGATATTGTAAGCACTATGACTAAATCAAAAAAATCTGTCTTTCTTTTTTTAGAAAAATATTTCCACAGTTAACAGCATACCCCAGACTCCTAAAATAAATCAAATGTTGATAAAATTTTATCTTTAATCTTCCTTGTTTAACATGATAATTAATGAGTAAATACAAAATTTATGTCAAAGCAAATAGAATTCTTGTAGCAAATATCAAACTTTGATTTCAATTATTTATATTGTGCTTTATCAACTTGTTAGCCTACAAAGCTATAGCATCCAGATTAAATGATACAGTTTAAAACGAGCCGCGTCACAACAAAACTTGCGACCAGCATGGATCCAGACCAGTCTGCGCATCTGCGCAGTCGTGATCAGGATCCATGCTGTTCGCTCACCAACCCTATTTACAAGTAGAGAAACTGATAGCGAACAGCATGGATCCTGATCAGACTGCGCGGATGCGCAGGCTGGTCTGGATCCATGCTGGTCGCAAATTGAACGCACTATGTTGGTTTTGTCGTGGCGCGGCTCAAAAGGTCTTAACATTAAATTGTCCAAAATGCAATATAATATACATATAGAAATATTCTTACAGTAACAAGAGACATTTTCAGATGATAAGTTTTAACTGTAACAAAAACTAGAAATTAAGTTTTCAAAAATATTATTTTTTTGTAGAAAATCAATTTAAGCAAGTTCTAAAGGATATTTTTTTAAAAAAAGAAATGCCATTATTTGATTGATTCATAGAATAAAGCTTGCTACTGACTTCTAAAAATACCTTTTACCTAATTTGTATAATCAAATTAAATTTGGCTGACATTTTCTGAGAAGAGTAAAAAAGGAAGTGTCTAGCGTTGTTGAATAATTTATGAACTGACCAAAACTATAAAGAGTGTTATGTGTAACACAGGACCAATAAAAAGACAGTAAATCAGTCTCTAAATGAACATTCCATAGGAACAGCACTTATGCCTTCAAGTCAAAGCAATACTGACTTTAGAGTTGCACAAAATTTTTACCACTTTGTTTCGTATCTATCAAAAACTCGCATTTCTTTCACACAGTAAAAGTTCCACAATTTGAAAATACTGATAATCAAATTCTGGGGTCTGACCAGGAGTCCTGGAGGCTCCCAAAAGCTTCTGAACTAAATCATATTCCATGGCCTTTTCCTGACATAATGATATAAACAATTGTGTAAAAAAATTCACAAAATGCAACACATTTTTTTGACTTGACTACCAATTTTTCTCTGTTTTATTTAGTTATTTCCATGTCTTTTTTATTTTTTTTTTTAGTGTTAAAATTGGAAGGTGTCACACTCTCTGTGTGGCAGACAGACTCAGACAAACATAGTACAGGTTATCAATGGTAAAGGGCTTTGCTTCTAGTGCTAAAGGAACTCTACTACATGAGTTGGAATGTTACTATTAACAATTAATGAATCAAAACAAATTAACATTAACATGCTTTGAAAGGCAGCAAGCCTCATTTTCATTTATATAAATTCAAAAATATTACAGACAAAAATATATGTTAAGAAAATACTATTGCATAAAAAAAGTGTTTTCATTCAAAGGGGAATCCCCTGAAATTACTTAAGAAATAAATATTCAAATACTATCAACAGAAACTATTCTTTATCAAATTATGTAATCTTATGTTTCTACTTGTTACTCTCTATTTCCAAATTTTGACTTTTCATACACTTTTTCCCGCCCTGAATTCCAACAGTGCTGGTGACATTTCCAAAATGTTGAAAGACCTGCCTGTGTACCAAAATAAAACAAAACAAAAACACAAAACAGACCAACAAAAAAGTTCACTAGAACATTATTGTGGGGGTGCAATTAATTAAAGGACAGAACCAATTTAATTATACATGCACAATACTTTGTAAAGTGGTTCCTACTTTACAGTTAATCCAATTTAATGAAATTGATAAGATTTTTTTTCTTTTATCATTCTTTTTAAATCAAGATTATTTTACCTTAGCATCTTTATTGATGTCAATGGTAATGGTTTTACTGGTCTCAGCATGGCCAAATTCTAATGTGCCTTTCTGTGCAATGTAGTCCACTTTAGGACCAAGATCCTTCCCTCCAACAGCTGTTCCATCACTGAAATGTAAGTTTATTTATGACAGAGGCCATTATAAATCACCTTCACTACCAGAACTGAGCTAGACCAACAGGCACATTCATGTTGTCTGAAAAGGCAGCTTTATTTTTATATATTTTGATATTGTAATCCATTAAAACTACCTACGGTAGATTTCAAACTCACAGCAGAGTAAGTTCATTACACAATTCAGCTAACAAAAGATTATGTTAGGTGAACAGCATACAATATTATGTATAACAATATAGATAACATTGATGTTTTTTAGTAAGTGTGCAGCTTAAACTTCACTCTTTTAGGGTTTTTTTTACAAAAAGGTCAATAAATTAATAATACGGTGAAAACAGTCTGTCCAGGTACAAATAAAATGAAATCTTTTCTTAAATTTGATGCTGCAATTGAAAGATGTATAACATTGTTTTTCTTCAAAATGTATCTTCATTTTCCGAATCTTTATTAATTCTATCAACCAACTGACATAATTATATAGTACATATAGATAAAGTTCTTGTAAGAGAAATATAATTAGGTCAAATACTCTAAGACACAATTCAATTATCTGCCTATCTTAAATGTTCCAGAATGATTACATTCTATCAGATTTTGTTTGTTAGTGGAAGATCTCAGTATAATTTTCTGACAATTCATAAATAATATATCACAGTTACCAATTAGACGCATCACCTAGAATGTACTCATTATCCCCCCTCCCCCCCATACAATTATTTTTTCAGTTGATGATTAAACAGTTCTGCATTCAAGGAACTATTTCCTACAAAAACACAAGAAAATGAGAACAAATTACACACAAGAAGTGTTTCACGTTGTTGTAGTTTCTAACATTACATAGATGTAGTTTAACTTACATACGTGTAATAACATGCATACTTGCATATACTTACATAGTTGCGTATTCAAGAGAGACAACACCATCAAAGCCATTAATTCGTACGACCTTCGTTATGACCTTCCATTCACTGAGATCAGCGATGCAATGATCTTCATCAAACTGAAACTCTCCTGGATCTGGAATGACATTATATTAAAATATTAGATCAACCCTTTTTCTTTTCCTTTATTGGTTTGTATGTGTGTGTTAGATGGTGGGGTGCGGGTTATATTTCTTTTGCTTTTCTTCACTTACATAAATCACAAATGCATGTTAATCAACACAGTTACATACAAATATTAACAAGAGTTTTCTGTTGTACAAGAAATACAAAGAGTGTAGTCATAAGAATGTCATGAAAATGCCAGAAATATTACACATACAGCCTGCAGCCTTGTAATTCATTACCTCACATTTACTTAAAATTACATTATGAACTGAAAAAACAATTCAGTGCATCTCCCTCCCCTTAATTAGTACACAAAGATAAAATCTACATGAAATACTCCACAATGAAGCTTTTGCAAGCATATAAAACTCATTTTTCATTAAAGAGGTAGATTTAAAGACTTTAAAACATATCATCTTGATCATTAACAAACAATCTTAGCTAGTGCATACACCTAAATGAAAACAAAAAATATACTTTTTTATTGAATTAGTTTTTGATTTTATGACAATAATATTGTATCATGTATAAAAAGTTTAATTAATAAGAATTTAAGGTGAAAGTATGTTTAAATCTCTGGCATCATCTTACAATGATTCTGATCAAGTTCTAGAATAAATAACAGGCATGAGTAGACTGGCATGGTAAAACTGCTTGTTTGCAGCATGAAATCTTCACATTTCTTCTTTTATAATAAAAAGATAACAAATGGATAAAGTTATATCAATCCTAACTTTATTCCATATTCTTGATTTGTCTGATACATAACTTACAGCTGATTAAAACTATCTGATAGAAAACTTATCTAGGCAGTTGTAAATGTAGTCTAGGCTAAAGCTCCTCTTAACTTAAAAATAAATTCATACTTGAGGTAAAGCAGAAACATGATTTCATTTTCAAGTATTATCTATTTTAATAATGGAATAATGATAGCACTTGATACCTTGAAATATTTGTACTGTCATTTTTAGTACTGCAATTGTAGTAATGAACTCTTCTTACTTAAAGTTTACTGTACATATTAATTCTGGACAGATCTAATAAATCTTACCTGCAGTGAGCATGATTTTAATAACTAAAACACTACTTGAGATTCTTAAAATAATATACAATATGGTACAGTTTTGGAAAATGGTACAGTTTTGGAAAAAAACTTAAAACAGTAAAACATAACTGTGGTTGACATTTAATTAAACAAAACACTGTAACAGATAACATTAACTGAGCATTTTTCTAACTTGTATTACTAAACTAGTACAACTAGGGTTGGGTTTTAAATTTCCAGAAGAATTTGAAGAAATTGGGCTAATTATTCTGGAACAAAATGAGGGGGAGATGAAAAAAAAGTATTCTAACTGAATTTCAAGCAACCCCTTAATAGTTGTGTGAACTTTGAAATTAGGTGACAAATATCTTTTTTAATAAGGTACAAGAGGATGTGTAATACAATTATTTTGCAAAAAAATGTCACAATGATGAATTGTTTGAGGATTAATTAACAGTAAACAGTTGCAACAAGGGGCTTAATTGAAGCATTTTGCGACAAGCCACTTTACTAACTACATGCACCCATATTCTGAAGCCAGTGATGATTTTGAGCAAAAAAAACCCCAACAAATCTCTTAATTCTGATTTATTGATGCAAAGTAAAATAACCCTAGCGAAAAAGAAATCATGTTATATGATTAAACATGATTAGATGTGTACAAACATGTTTTTTTCCTCATTGACCATGTTGGTCAATCATGTCTTATAAACATGTTTGACCATCAAACATGATTGTGGATGAAAATTACAATTTGTTCAATAAAACATCTGTATTTATTTCAAGTAATATTATAATGACTTTCAGGGAGAGGTAAAAATCATAAAGATTGTTTTTTTCTGCAAACAATCTTACAAGAAATCAACATATTCAATCATGAATAAACATGATAAATTTATAAAAAAAAAAATCAAACAAATCTCTTTTTTTTCTTGTTACTTTCATCAAATAAGTTATTCTTTTGGATAAAAAAGTATCCATACATTTCAACTTTGTGTAAAAATAGCCTTAAACGCTTTAATAATTACTGACACATTGACCCATTTACTACTAAGAGAATAACATAGTCATACATGATCAAACATGGCTGAACATGATAAATTCCAAGTTGATATTTTTTAACAAATAAGCATTTTTTAAATTACATCTTACAACAGGATTTTACTTTCTGTGAAAACACTGATAAAAAGAATAGTTTCAGTTGTTTTGTTAACAATTTTTTTTATAAGAAAGCAAACATGTTTAAACATGACTGAATTTTGAATATAACAAAATTTTCAGACAGCTCAGAGCATGATTCAGCATCTCCTTGGTTATAATCCTAGAATCCATCTGCTAGGCCATAAATGTAGGTTAAACATATTGTCCCCATTTTCAACAGTTTTACAGCATTTATCGGAATATAAGATAAGCATTGATATAAAGCATCAAAGGGCACTGGGAAGAAGTAAATGTAGCAAAATTAATTAAAATGGTAAATTAAGGTGGGATCTTAATTTCAGAAGCCGAGGATTATGTACCACAATATGAGGCATAAATTGATAGTGGGATATATTACCCTTAACTGTAGCCATAAAAGCTAAATTACTAGGTAAGCTAAAAGTTTAGGTAAAAATCACATTATGTTCCTACCAGTTACAAATATACAACAGGCAAAATAAAATATTCCATACAGGACGCGGAACTTCAGTTCGGCGAAAGTAAAAAAAAACTCAGTTAAGAATTACCAATTTTTCCATATGAAGGTTATGGTTGCAAAGCAGAGCTCAAACTCGCCATCCACCATTTATGGCAGACAAGAGTTACTGCAAATACTACTTAAACTTGAAAAAATTTAACAAAACAAAGGAAAATATCTTGGAATAGAAAGTATTTTCATGAAATTGAACACCTATTCAAGAATCTGAATTTATTTGTATCCAAAATCAATACTTTTTAGTTAACATATCATTTTAGTATCTATTATATAAGACAGATTTGAAGAAGTGACCCGTAAATCACTACCACATGGATTGTACCTATAATAATTAACACTAATTGTCACATTAAAGTTGTATTTTGTAATATTAGACTTATATTTTACTGTCTCAAACTGCGATTCAAATGATGCAATCTAAAATACGCCAGTCACTTGAACAAATATGGAACACAACTAACTTTAAAAAATGTATTTTCAGTTTGAATAACAAACACTTCTTCAATTATCTTATCTACAAGAACAACATGAACATCCTCTTCAGTTTTCATTCTTAACAGATCATGAGATGGCATCCAACATCACAAAAAGGATGTACTTGTTCTGTTATTGTACATATATGTCCAACAGCAAACAACTTCTCATCCACAATATTTTCTATGAAATATGATATAGCTAATATCACACTATCCAGGCACAAAACAGTGTAACAGTTTTTTCATTTGTTTGTACTTTTCGGAATAAAGAAATTTTCCTTTGTCTTAATATTCTGTGTGTTATTCTATAATATTTTACATTGTTCAAACCAATCTTAGCAAGAACATAGCATTGTTCTTCTTTAGATGCAAAATTTCCTTTTGAATATTCAGTGCCAGAGGGTTTTTCATCACCTGACATAAGTTAACCAGTATTATTTGGACAAACTCTTGATAGAAAATCTAACCAACAGGGTTTGCATCAGCAATCATTTCAGTACTTTTAGTTCAGATATACAGATCTGTTAACTTGTCCGAATTACTCTTCCTTGTATTTTCATGGTCATAGAAATTGTCACACTCATACATGTTAAAGGTAGCACTCTACAGTTAATTTCAAGTTCCTCAGCCGTCAATGTCCTACAAGCAATACGTCAATCTACTCTGATACCAAACTACACAACCTGGAAAAAGAAAACACATTTTGTTGAGAACGTATATGACATAAGATTGCAAATCTACAAAGAACTTATCCCATCTGCATTAGGCAGGCAGTAAAAAAAATGCAATTCATTCTGTTGAAGCCCAAAATCTACAGTGGACGGAGACCCAAAACAACACATTTCGTCCCTCTGGCAAAAATCAAATATACAGGCTAAAGGAATACCGTCTCTGCTTTAGCTACTCTCTAAACATGCAAAATATCACAAAGTAACAGGTGCTCAACCTTGTAGATTTTTTGCTACTGCTAAGAGTTGTCCTTATAAAATTAATTTAAAAAAAAATAATATGATGGACACTTGTATGAAATAACAAAAAAATTATACCCTAAAAATTTAAATGTAGACAACAAATATTATCATATCTTTATCTTAAATTGCAATTAAATAATGAATCTAGATCAGCGAATCAAATGTCACAAGTTAATTTTCTTAAAAGGAAGTGGCTAGCTGTACGGGCCCGTACGGCTAGCCAAAAGTTCTATCCGTATGTGAGTCACGTACGACTAGCCTGGACAAACTGTATTGGCTAGCCGTACGGCACTTTTCAAAAATAAATGGAAGTCGAAAATGCATATGTTATTTTGTGTCTTTAAATGACGATTTTAATCAAATCTCCGCATTTGTCCTAGTTTGTTCACTTCAATAAAGATGCTCCGCAATTTTGCACACAAAAAATGAATACGAGTAAGCGTTGTATAATCTAGCTTAATAAAATTAAGTGTCAAAGTTGCATGTTATATCGTCCTTAATGTTCATGCTTATGATTTGTATGAAAGATGAATTGTTAAATCTGTTTAGCACATGGATCGAATAAATAATGATTGGAGGGGAATAAATAAATACATGTAAATAAAAAAAAAAAAAGAATATTAGAAAAAAATGGTGAAAAAGAAAATAATTTAATAATGCAAACTTTCCTTAATGATCGACGATGGACAAACTTCTATACAGACGGTAATTGACGAAATTATCAGTGCCCAACAACAATTATTTTCGGTGTTTTTTTTTTCAATTTAAAAATTAAACTTAATGAAACAAAAAAGGATTATCATCAAAATTTTGTAAACTATTTAAATTGATGTTATGTAACTGCAACCAAACGCTATTTTTTCTCCACGTCTTGAGAGGACAAGTACATTCTTTACTGTAGCCAACGTGTCGATTAATCTCTAAAAAGTAAACATTCTTGACTAAAATTCTCACTTTAAGTCATAATTAACATATGCACTTTCGCCTTCCATATATTTTTGAAAAGTGCTGTACGGCTAGCCAATACAGTGTGTCCAGGCTAGTCGTACGTGTCTCGGGCTAGAACTTTTGGCTAGCCGTACAAGCCCGAAAAAATGCAAAATGAAAGAAAGTTACAGCCGGCTTATTCAAGTTATTTTATAAAAATAATTTATTTTCTCATTACAAAAATATATATTTTAGGCAAACAAAGATGAATATTACTATATTTGCCTTTTATTTGGGTGTATCTATTCTGGGTATAGGTTGGGTACTTCGTGCGGGTCGATTTGTGCCGCCGATTTCCCATGTTTCCGTAGCCAAATATCCCCATAATAGCGAGCTCGACGAGCTGGCCCGAAGGGCCTGCTCGCAAAGCGAGCTTTACGGTAACGCGAGTACCTGCTAAGTGATGGTTTTGAAAACTTTCGTCCAAAGTACCGAATTGGACACATCGCAACCTTTCGAATTTAAAGATAACGATAAAAACTGAGGAATTCTGACTGAAAACGGATGTCTAGACCGGTCACCCGCGCACGTCTATGGGAACCATAGTTGGACAGGGAACCAGAATAACGGAAGCTGTGTATAAAAAAATAATAATTGAAGGCGCCATTTTGTTTGAAAAATCTGATAAATAAGAACAATTTTTTGTCGAATTTTGTTGTGAAAACTATCTAGAATGAAAGAAAATGGTCTAATTAAGAAAATGAATCCGAACACCAATATCTTTTATTCAGTCGTTAACGCTGTACAGACGTTTAAAGTATTGTTTACTTGACGTCACAATGTAGCGCCAAACAGCACGTGCAAAACAAACAAATCAAGTACGCTATTTTAATGTCGCAAACGTTTTAAGTTTTACATTTATTTCACTTTAGATAATCTTTATTTCGCTTGAAAAATTATAGAGTGAAACAAAATAAACAAAGTTTTATCAACGTTTTCAAAACTCGTTTTTCATTTCACGACAGGGGCGGAGCCATATTTAACACAGTACGTGTGACGTCACACGCACTCGTTACTGCATTTGAAATAAAATTGAGCGATTATTTCATACTATTTCACGTAAAAAGTGCATCGAGCTCGCTTTGAGGCTTTGCCTTTTTCATATTAACCCCTCGGAATTAATTTCATTCAAGGACGGCAATCGCCAAATATTTGCAACGTTGCTTTGTTTCTCTAGGTCTTTGGTATTTTGCCTCGCGGGCAGAAACTTCATGATGTGAATTTTTTTGTTGTTGTTTTTTACGGAAGTACAAACTAGCCGGTCACTTGTTTTCTAAAATCTGATTCGACAATCACAACTTGTTCGACCAATCAGAAGCGTTGATTCATACCAAGGTGCGTAATGCACACAATCGCTCATAATGCACAAAAAAAACGGACAAAACATCACCTGTTTATAAAATCAAATGGGCAATAGAGTTCTTTCAGTTCTCACTCGAGATAAGAGGCAACCTATACCCTCAGAAATCTAAACGGATTTACGTGATTCACAAAAATGATCCTGGAGGCTGGCTAAAATACGGAACTTACGGACTTTTCCGGATGTTATTCTAATAATAAATATACAGCTAGCAAACGGGTTGTAGCACTTACCGTGGTGTCAGAACAAAACATATTGTTATATATAATGACATTTTACCTTCTTCAGCTTCTGAAAACCTCGAAATCCACCAAAATCGCATGTTTACAGTTTCTTCAAGTGTTATCTTTCTATACTTCCGGTTTAGAAAATCACGTTACCTTCAGCGCCACCTAACCCAAAGTTTATATTTAGCAACCAATAGATTACACGAATACATGTGCGGTTAGTTTTAAACGAGGGAAAAATCAAAATGGCTGAAAAATGAAAGTGCTTGTTTATTGGACTTTGGCGAACAACTGGTCGTTTGTCAGCACTGCCGCTGATCGGGGAGGGTCAATGCCTGGGACAAGAACATTTTGCAAGTTCCAGGAGAAATGGTATCCTGCTATACCCATCGCATGTAAGTTCTTCATCTGCACGCATGCTTCCGAGCACAAGGACAGTCTTGATAATTAAAATAAGATTGCTCTTGCTTTCAATTAAAATTCAAAAGGTCATCCAAAATACCTAGCAAAATGCCAGTCTTCTGGAAAGTTATCGGTCCGAACGGCCGACCGAAAATTTGGCATCTTGGCCGAAATGGTTTTTAAGGAACAATCGACCATATATCTGGAAATTTTGGAGGAAATTATTTAAATTCTCATAGCCACAAAATTTCCACTTATAAATGAATGAAACTTAACTTAAAAAAGAGATTTTAACTGTTAAATTATTAACTTTTTTTGTCATTTATTAACATTTTTTCGGATAACACGAAGTCCGGATAAGAACAAAAATAAATGATTTATTTTGCTTATTCAAAGTCAGTGTTTCCTTTGGCAGGTTTGCAACATTTGATCATCTGGAGGATTCCTGGAGAGGTATGTTCTTCACCATCGAAGAAATTCAAAACCATAGTGCAACTGGTAAAAAGGCCAACAAAGACCAAGTTTGATCCTGCCAAATTTAACTTAATCAGCAAGCTCGTTCAGAAACATTTTGATATCAGGAAGTGGTCATTAAGACACAAAATGTGAAGCAGTTAGTATTCCAAGTGACAATTTAAATCAAGTATTGACATAATGAAAATTACTTTTGTGCTGAAAAAAAAGAAAGAAAAGAAATAAAAAAGAATTGTGTCCAGGGTTCTGATCTCAAAAGTTGTAATTTAAGTTTTACCTCATCTGAGCGTACTCGAGATGAAATTTTGTGATTGCCAGTGTCTGTTGACCTGTGCTGATGTAAAACAATGTCAGCTTTGTTCTTTTGAAAATGTTTGAACATGTTTGAAAATGTCAAATGACCCCTTGATTTGGATATATTAACATGTTCGACCATGTTATGGAATCTTTATTTGTATATGTTTAAACATGTTTAGATGTGTTTGGATCGTGGTGCCATTTAATGTGAATGTTTAAACATGTTCCATCATGTTTTGGGAACATTTTTAATCATGTTTAGATGTGTTTGACAGTAAAGTAGTAGTTACATGATCAACCATATTAAAACATGTTCTGTGAACATTTTCAAACATGTCCAAAACATGATAGCTGGATAGAACAAAAACATGTCAAAATGTGATTGACCATGATACTCTTTTTTTGATCATCAAACATGACTAATCACGATTGTTGACTGATCCTGTTAGATCATGGTGCCATTTCACGTGCATGTTTAAACATGTTCAAAACATGTTCAAAACATGTTCAGACATTTCGAAATAACATGTAAGAACGTGTTTAAAACATGTTAAGACATGTTTCAATCATGAAATTTTCGCTAGGGAAATTTTGAATGTTCAACAAAAGAATCTCACTATAAATGTCATTCTCTTCATAAATTCAATGATGATTTTGTTTTATGTAAACTTAATAATACTGACTTATAATACAAAAAAAGGGTTTTACACATCTGCAGGGCTTGAAAAAGTCTAAATAAGTATTGTATATTATGATTAAACAAAGAGAAATATTAAAGGAAATATTGTCATTCTGAACTGCAGCACTTATTGCCAGACATTGTCATAATCATTGCATCTATTTAGGACATAGTTCAATTTATGCCCTTAAAATGATGCTAACATAAGTTTGTCTGGCGTTGCTTCAAAAATCCCAACTTTTCAAAGAACCTCTCTTTTGGGGCCTAATCACAAAGCAGTAAATGGTGCGGGACTCAATGCTTAAGCTGAGCTGATTTCACAACCATGAAAATGAAATGAGTAAAAATGATTAATCATTAATCTACAATCTGTGATTTTATTTATTTCAATTAGAGTTTATTTGTGTTTTTTTAGTATTTTGACTCACATCTTATAAGATAAACATATAGTGCTAGTTAGGGTGTATCACATGCTCTGAAACATTCTAAGCTGTTGCTTGAAAAACAGGTGAGAAACTTTTAAATAACTGAAAGAAAAAGAATACTGTCAACCAATTGCCTTTCAACATTTTAACTGTATGGTATTTTAAATATTAACACATAAATGAAACAGTAACAACATAGATCATATAAAAAATTTATTTGAAATATACAGGCATTAAAAATTAATGCCATTACAACTTGTCTTTTTTTCCATCAAAAACTGAGGGAAAGCTATTCAAGTGACAAACAAATACATACATTAATTATTATTGTTTTATAATTACTCCTTCAATTACATTTGTACCACATGAATTAAACTAAAGATGTTACCATTTTTCTTTCTATAACTTGTATTATAAATCATTCATACATCACTTAGCAAAATGGAGATTGATTTGAATTACTAGTAGATAATCTTAAAATTAACTTTCTATGGAAAAACTGACAAGAAATCAAATGCTTTATGACTGGTTGACAGTTAATATAAACAGTTGATATTGAAGAAAAACTCAACAAAAAGCTGCAAACAAGAAAAAGTAAACTGATTCTAACCAAGTTGATGTAGGTTATTTTACCTTTACCGCCTGTAAGGTGGGTAGAATAAGAAAAATATGTAATAAAAATGTTCAGGCTATCTACAGTATATACCTTGTATTTCAACTTATGAAATAAAGTTACATCAGATATTAATAAAATTATGGTCATCTATCTGGTGAGTTTGATATGCTACAGAAGGGGGTGAGAGCTCCAGTCATTTATCAACACAATTCAGCCACTGAAGCCCTAATGTTTCTTATATTCTGAATATTTTAAGGTCAGTGTGTGTCTCCTAGAGCTACCAACAGCATGTTTGACTTTTTGCTGTGCTTAATAGTAGAATATACTATAAGAGCCTGAAAATATTGAACATCATCAAAAGTTCATACTAGAGGTATTGGTCTTGGACAGAGACTTGCAATAAGATCCCATAGATGGCTGTTAAGGTAAGTTATAAATGACTTCTTTCTAAATTTTTTGAGATTTTTCTTGCAAACTAAACTTTAAACAGGAATTTTTCTAGTTCACAATTATGCTATAATGCTAAAATACTATAATCCATGCAAGATTTATAAGTCTTTGACAGTAACCTTCAATTATGTTCGTAGTGATTTTAATCTTACAACATGAAAAACCAAAACTAGGAATTTTTCAATTTCAGAAATGGAAATAATTCTGTCAATGTCCATGATAAAGTTATGGTACTTGCACATAGACCAGTTAATGATATAAAAGTAGTCAATGGTGTCCTTATTCAAGTTCATGTCACTACCGAATAAAAGTATTCTCAAATAAACTTCTATTTGTGGTCATATTCATTTCATAAATCTGACCCCCCTAACAGGACATTATAGAATAAAAATATATAAGATAAACAAAGACAAACACGATGAACAAATTTATATAACCTTTTAAGACTTTCATGTACAAACAGTCATGCATTCAATGACATTCATTCAAACAGATTTCTCTGTAGTTCTAAAGCAGAATTTATTTTGTTAAGTGTTTTCTTTTTCTATTGGAATAAAGCTGTAAGAATTATGTATTTACACAGTAAAGTGGTAAACTCTGCTATAATATTTTAACAATTAAACATTTAATAGCATTTCACCAATATACAAATCAGTGTTAAAGTTTTACAGCTATTTTAATACCTTACTACTAAAGATTTTTGCGTCTTCAATGATTTATTTATGTGTGTATTTTAACAGTAGTGATCATAACAACCACAATAAAACATGCTTTGAGTTGTTAAAAGTATTTCATTCAGCTTAAACTGTTAAATCGATATACCAAAATGTAATTATTATTATAATAAACAAAATTTCTTGTGCAAATTTTAAATTATTGCTCTTTACATCAATATAAACATATTTTAAATATAAATTCTATTAAATACAGATATAATATGTTCTCTGTCTAAAAGATGACTTCCCTCTTCTCAAAAGCAAGAAAAAATCCAAAAAAGAAAAATTACATTCAACATGTTGAGGTACAATCATGCAAAAAAACTATGAAAGCATTTGCACTTCAAAGAGAAGATAAATGACATTAAAGTAGCAGTGAGAGGGAAAGGCGTTCACTTACTGTCATCATCAACTATTGTGACGGTTGCCACACTGGGGTCTCCTGTACCAGTGCCAGGTGTTGGATTCTTCAGGAGTACATAAAACATGACGTCATTCTCAAACTGGTTGTCATTAACAATTGGAATTGATATTGTCTTCCTGTACTCATCCTCTTTGAATATCTGAGAAAACAATTGCAAAATTAGAGTAAAACTTTTAGCTTAAGAACAAGCATTAACTTAAATTAACAAGTAACAAGAAATGTTGAACAACAAATATGCTCCCCTTTCTAGCCCTTGACTCCTACTATTGGTAATTTTGTTATAGAAACATGCTGTAAATGGGTACATGGAAAAGTTCAGTTATGGAAAAGAAATAATGACCAATATATGATCTGAAACTGAATGAAAGCTATCATTAATAAGTTATACAAGTAGGAGGGTAGCTGGAATAAAATATATATTATCATATTAATGTAACAATTCTGACATTTAAGGTCCCGGTCACCTTGACCTTTGACCTAGTGTCCCTAAAAACAACAAGGGTCATCTACTAATTATGACCAATCAGTATGTGAAATATGAAGACTGTGATAAAACAGTTTAATAAGAATTACATTTTATGTCTTCTATTAACCTTTAAAAGAACGAAAACAAAGCACAAGGCATAATTTTCTGATTCAAAATTTTTTTTTTTTATCCAGACCATGAAAAAAAATTTGAGTAGGGGCAAATTTTGTGAGTCGGTCGCGTTACTGCAAACAAACATTTTTTTAAGGATGGCCTAAGTTATACAAGTAGGAGGGTAGCTGGAATAAAATATATATTATCATATTAATGTAACAATTCTGACATTTAAGGTCCCAGTCACCTTGACCTTTGACCTAGTGTCCCTAAAACAACAAGGGTCATCTACTAATTATGACCAATCAGTATGTGAAATATGAAGACTGTGATAAACAGTTTTCAAGATAATCAGCAGAAACCATTCTGGCATTTTAGGCACCTATGAACTTGACCTTTGACCTAGTGACCCCAAAATAAATAGGGGTCATCTACTTGTTATGTATGACCAATCAGTATGTGAAATATGAAGACTTTGTTATGAATAGTTTTCAAGATAATCAGTGGAAACCATTCTGACATTTAAGGCCCCCCGTGATCTTGACCTTTGACATAGTGACCCCAAAATCACTAGGGTCACCTACCAGTTATGACCAATCAGTATGTGAAATATAAAGACTTTGTGATAAATAGTTTCTAAGATAATCAGCGGAAACCATGAGGTCGACCAATGGACAGACCTACAAATAGACCGACTGACATTAGCAAAACAATATACCCCCTCTTGATTGAAGGGGGGCATAAAAATAGCTTCTTTGAAAAGCCACCAATTCCCTTTTTCTCAAGGTATTAAATTTCCACCAAGCAAAACTCTGACCTTCACCCTGACATTTTCCTGCAAAATAAAAGAGATATTTTCTCTGGTTTGATAGCAGAAGAGTATATTTTTCCCATGTATCAGACTTCTTTATTGTTAGAAGATCTAACCAGCTTTTAAAAGATGCCATAAAATACTGCTTTATCTGTACTGCTTCAAATTTCTACATAAATTCACTGTTATACCTGTTCATTTTATACTTTTTCTTATAACATTTTCTAGTGTTATGTAAGTTTCTATTATTGTGTTTACAAGTGTAATAAGATAAATTCATGATGCTCAATAAAAGAAAAGCATTATTTCCTACAATAAATCAGTCTTACATTATGATAAATGTAATAGAAACTCAGACAAACCTGAGACAAGAAACACTTATTTCATATGCCATTTAATGTTTTGAAATCATTGGATTTCATTGTAATGAAGGATATAAAATTATATTGCACCAAGCTGCTCTGGAACTCTCTTTTCATTGCTTATATGAATAAGTGTTGTGCAGAGTAGATGTCATATTAACTACAAATATTTAAGTATTTGAAACTGCATTCTTCAAATGTACCCCATCACCCCCTCCAACTTAATACAATACAAGATAAACAAGAGTCTATCAAGCTATAAGGCAAAACATTGGAAACCAGTCTTTACCACAGTCATATGATTGCCTGATTTCATTTACAGACTTGTTAGATAATGCCAACACAAGAGGTCCATTAGGGCTAATCTCTGTATTTAGTTAAGACTCATAAATCACTTTCTAAAATAGATTACTACCCACGCTGTCAAAATAAGGGCTCAGTAACACAGTTACAATCACAGTGAAACAATCATTTTCCTTGAGTCTAACATAGCAATATTGCACAAGACTTGTTCACAGACAGTATGCTGCTGGATAGTTAAATAAAGGCAAGATAGAAAAGGGGGCATAACTTTGCAAACATTAATTTAAGGACTATCTGACATTTTTGTAGTGTCCTTTTATAATGACAATAAACATGCACACCATGTTTGAAGTGAATAGATTAAATAGTTTCTGAGAAATGACCTTAATGGTGCCAATGCCATAGAGAAGTATAGTTCCACATTTATTTTTCTTCAAAAAGTGGAGCTAAAAAGGGAAATAATTAAGAAAAACATGTCAAAAGTGGAGCTAAAAAGGGAAATAATTAAGAAAAACACGTCAAAAGTGGAGCTAAAAAGGGAAATAATTAAGAACAAGAATGTCGAACGACACATATACTCCCCTTTCTAGCCATTGACTCACATAATTGGTAATTTTATTAAAGAAACTTGCCAAAAATGGGTACATGGAAGTGTTCAATTATGGAAAAACCAACGGAAACCATTTTGACATTTAATGCCCATGTGACATTGACCTTTGACCTAATGACCCCTAAATCAATAGAGGTCATCTAATACTTATGACCAATAACTAGGTGAGTTATGAAGACTTTGTGATGAATACTTTTCAAGATAATCAGCGGAAACCATTTTGACATTTAAGGCCCCTGTGACCTTTACCTTTGACCTAGTGACCCCAAAATCAATAGGGGTCATCGTCTAGTGATGACCAATCACTATGTGAAATATCAAGACTTTGTGATGAATATTTTTTAAGATAATCAGCGGAAACAATTTTCACATTTTAAAGTTCCTGTGACCTTGACCTTTGACCTAGTGACCCCAAAATCAATAGGGGTCATCTACTAGTGATGACCAATCACTATGTGAAATATGAAAACTTTGTGATATATACTTTTCAAGATAATCAGCGGAAACCATTTTGACATTTAAGGCCCCTGTGACCTTGACATTTGACCTAGTGACCCCAAAATCAATAGGAGTCATCTACTAGTTATGACTAATCACCATGTGAAATATGAAGACTTTGTGATGAATTCTTTTTAAGATAATCAGCAGAAATTATTTTCACATTTTAAGGTCCCTTTGACCTTGACCTTTGACCTAGTGACCCCAAAATCAATTGGGGTCATCTACTAGTTATGACCAATCACTGTGTGAACTAGAACTGCCACTATGATGGCGAGAATACCCCCGCATACCACTTTGTCAGAATCAACAGTGGCCATTTAAAGCTCAAGGACAATCTCCCTGCCAAATCTGAGGTTACTAAGCCGGTGCAATGCTTCAAATGTGAAAATGTCAAAATCAATACATTGCGGACAGGACATTTACTTTAGCAATTGAGAAGAAAAGCTTTTTTTTGTCAAGGTCCCTGTGACCTTGACCTTTGACCCAGTGACCTCAAAATCAATAGGGGTCACCTTATAGTCATGATCAACATCCATGCCAAATATGAAGACTGTGGGTCATAGGAATCTAAAGTTATTGGGCAGACAAACCTTTTGAAGTCAAAGTCCCTGTGACCTCGACCTTTGACCTGGTGACCTCAAAATCAATAGGGGTCATCTACTTATCATGACTAACCTCCATTCCAAATATGAAGACTGTGGGTCAAAGGAATCTTAAGTTATTGGGCGGACAAGCTTTTTCAAGTCAAGGCCCCTGTGACCTTGACCTTTGACCTGGTGACCTCAAAATCAATAGGGGTCATCTACTAATCATGACTAACCTCCATGCCAAATATGAAGACTGTGGGTCAAAGGAATCTTTGTTTTTATTAAAGGAATCTTAAGTTATTGGGCGGACAAGCTTTTTGAAGTGAAGGCCCCTGTGACCTTGACCTTTGACCTGGTGACCTCAAAATCAATAGGGGTCATCTACTAATCATGACTAACCTCGATGCCAAATATGAAGACTTTGGGTCTAATGAATCTTAAGTTATTGGGCGGACAAGCTTTTTAAAGTCAAGGCCCCTGTGACCTTGACCTTTGACCTGGTGACCTTAAAATCAATAGGGGTCATCTACTAATCATGACTAACCTCCATGCCAAATATGAAGACTGTAGGTCAAAGGAATCTTAAGTTATTGGGCGGACAAGCTTTTTGAAGTCAAGGTCCCTGTGACCTTGACCTTTGACCTAGTGACCTCAAAATCAATAGGGGTCATCTACTAATCATGACTAACCTCCATGCCAAATATGAAGACTAAGGGTCAAAGGAATCTTAAGTTATTAGGCGGACAAGAAAAAACCGACGGACGGCCGGACGGCCGGACAGCCGGACGGACAAGCTGATTCCAGTATACCCCCCTTACAACTTTGTTGTGCGGGGGTATAAATATGAAGACTTTGTGATACATACTTTTTAAGATAATCAGTGGAAACCATTTTGACATTTAAGGTCCCTGTGACCTTGACCTTTGACCTAGTGACCCCAAAATCAATAGGGGTCATCTACTAGTTATGACTAATAATTATGTGAAATATGAAGACTTTGTGATGAATACTTTTCAAGATAATCAGCGGAAACCATTTTGACATTTAAAGCCCCTGTGACCTTGACCATTGACCTAGTGACCCCAAAATCAATAGGGGTCATCTACTAGTTATGACCAATCACTGTGTGAAATATGAAGAATTTTGTGATACATACTTTTCAAGATAATCAGCGGAAACCATTTTGACATTTAAGGCCCCTGTGACCTTGACCTTTGACCTAGTGACCCCAAAATCAATAGGGGTCATCTACTAGTGATGACCAATCACTGTGTGAAATATGAAGACTTTGTGATACATACTTTTTAAGATAATCAGCGGAAACCATTTTGACATTTAAGGTCCCTGTGACCTTGACCTTTAACCTAGTGACCCCAAAATCAATAGGGGTCATCTACTAGTTATGACCAATCACTGTGTGAAATATGAAGACTTTGTGATACATACTTTTTAAGATAATCAGCGGAAACCATTTTGACATTTAAGGTCCCTGTGACCTTGACCTTTGACCTAGTGACCTCAAAATCAATAGGGGTCATCTACTAGTTATGACCAATCACTGTGTGAAATATGAAGACTTTGTGATACATACTTTTTAAGACAATCAGCGGAAACCATTTTGACATTTAAGGTCCCTGTGACCTTGACCTTTGACCTAGTGACCCCAAAATCAATAGGGGTCATCTACTAGTTATGACCAATCACTATGTAAAATATGAAGACTTTGTGATATATACTTTTCAAGATAATCAGCGGAAACCATGTGGTCTACCGACGGACAGACCGACGGACGGACCGACAGACAGACAGACCGACATTAGCAAAACAATATACCCCTCTTCTTCGAAGGGGGGCATAAAAACATGTCAAGATCTTTTCAATTAATACAAGGACTGAACTTTTTCAACATGGCTATTTTTTTCATTGATATTTGTAGCAGAAAATTATATTATCTGACAATCAAATGGCAATTAAATTTTGATAAATTCAAAAATGCGATTGACTTATTACTTCCTTTTATATAAATTGTATTTATTATCTTATTGTTCTCTCTCTCATAGCTCTGTCTCAATATATATCTTGCAGAAAATTTTATCAACTTCTTGGTATATCAGTTCACTTTGTAACCATAGGTAAACCTTATTGTGCAGCTGGAATACTCTTCTATAGTTTTTTGGTGTTTTTGTCTTCTTAAAACTGGACAGTTCATTGTTTAATTAAAAGACTTCTGCAACAGTACAGAGTGAAACCACACTGTACAGAAATGACATGCAGGATTACCTGACTGTAAATGTCTGTTTAAATCACTTGCTAATGTTCGAGGTGTAAAAGAAAGTTTATTTACCAATGTATCACTGGTATATCTAAAATCTTTGGCTGTTTTTGCAGTTCCTTCTCTTGTCTCATATTCAACAGATACAACACCAGGCACTGGCTTATCTTTCTCTGGACTGATTTTTACATTCCCATTCTTTGAATATGCAACAGCATCACCATTCTAAAACAAACATGAATAATCTTTATAAACAAATTACACTTAAAATACATTGATTATTGAATATTTTAAAGTCTGATATATATTGAACAACTCTTGAGCAGTGTAACAGTAAATGACAACAAGAGCTGTCGGTAGGACAGCAACGCTCGACTATTCTTAGTGCTTGATAGTAAAAAAAAATGCTTAAAACAGTTACCTCCTCCTGTTTACAGGTTGGGGTAATGATGGTGAACAAGTGTGAAAAGTTTCAAAGCCATATGTCAATGAACTTTGAAAATATTTGAGGTATTACAAAAACTTTAACATAAATTCTAAGTCGAAAAAGGGGCATAATTCTGTCAAAATGCTTGATAGTGTTACCTCCTCCTGTCTACAAGTTGGGGTCATGATGGTGAACAAGTGTGCAAAGTTTCAAAGCCATATGTCAATGGACTTTGAATATATTTGAACTATTACAAAAACTTTAACACAAGTGGTTACGCAGACGCTGACGCCGACGCTCTGGTGACTGCAATAGCTCTACTTATTCTTATCGAATAGTCGAGCTAAAAACAAGAGTTAAAGAGACTATGGATGAGATATGGTTTGATATATGATTATCAGTTTCCTGTCAACGCAAAACCCAATAAAAAACTGAGAAAACTGGCAACAGAATTTTTCATTGTAAATGTATTCATTTTAATATGTTGAAGAGTGACAAAAGGTTATTAAATTTTTTTTTGTGGTTTTATGTTGCAACAGCACATACATATTGGTCATTTACCGAAACTTTTCAAAATACTTATGTAACATTAAAATCTTATTTCAGTCTGACAAGGTAGAACGAGAAGCATCTAAAACATTTAGCATAATTAATTTTTACATTCTTTGCAAAAGTTAAACCAGTGGGCCAATTAAGCAATTCTGTTAATACATATTCAGACTAATAAAATGAAATTGTAGAGTAAAGACCTTTTTTGTATTGATATTTTCTCATTTTTAAATGTCAAAGAAGTATGTGATAATAATACATGTAATAGTGGTGTATTTTAATTTTTTCCCATGGCAATGAGACAGGAAATGATATTCACTATTTCTTTGAAAGTCTTATAATGAAAATCAATATATAATTCAAAAGAATTCCAAAACAGAAGCAATTCCGCCAGCAAATGCAATAAATCAAACATTGGATTTTATTTACTTACTGGAACGCTGGTTTTTGAAGTAAGCCTGAAAGAGAAAAAATAAGACAAGTTAGAGAGACAATAAAATTTCCAATACAGACAAATCAGTGAACCTTAGATTTGTAAATTAATGTTTCTAATTAAGTCATAAAAGGCAGTAGACAATCTGTAACATAACTGTATAGAATTAGACTGACACAATGAAGAGAATAAAAAAACAAAGATTTTATTTCTATATAAAAGTCTTTTAATCTCTCAAAGCTTTATTCAGGCATAATCTGTCTAAATGTGAACAGAGCTTAATTAGAATTTATTTGTCTGGGATTCTTGTCAAATAATACTACAACAAGTCATCAAAAGATCTTAGATTCTGTCTGAAGTAAACTAAATGAAGATTTGTCTATAAGAACATTCCAATTGTGTCTGCAATTATACAATAAAAACACCTCATTTAATCTTTTTCTTCATGTTACAATAAACAAGGGGATTTTGTGCTCTGTCAAGAAACTAAATCTACCAAATTTAGGATTAAATTGCAATAATTAATTTTGTGCATATAATAAATTTTGGATATAATATGTCCTCTGAGATTTCAAACAGTTCAATGCCAATATACATAATTTTCATTTCTAGATCTCAATCAAATTGATATTATTTGTGCAAAATTGAACCATTGGTCTTCCTCATGTAAAGTTGCAGGGTAGGTGTTCAGACTTTATATTACAAACTTGGGTTATCTAAGAAGTGATGAATACCCCCAATATCTCCATGACAAAGAATTTAATGTAGTTCCATTATTTTTGAGAAAGCCCTTAAAGGAGTGTAGAACTAATAGAGCAGACACAAACTGTCTGACATTTGACCCTCAATGGAGACCTTGACCAGTGAAGTCACAGCATTGATTCTGCACATCACCTTATCAAGATGGACATTAAAGTTTGAAAATAATCCTTCAAGCTACATAGGATAAATTTATAAAGAAGAGAAAATTTGTCTGACATTTGACATTCAGTGTGACCCTGACCTTGAACAGACACAGCACTGCTGCAGCATAACCATGTTGAGCTGAACATATGAACCAAATTTTAAGTACCAAATTCATAGAGCAGACATGAAATTGTCTGACTTTTTTTACTTTCAAGTGTTACCTTGACCTTGAAGTCAAGCAGCTGCTGCAAGGATTTTTCCATCACCTTGTTCATGTGAACAAATGAGTCAAGATTGAAAAAAATCCAAGCCAATGGATAAAGGATTTACAGAGTTGATACAAAATTGTCTGACATCTGACTTTCAACTTTGACCTTGACCTAGATCCAGCATGAGTTCTGCATATCACCTCGATTAGGTGAGCTTTTGAGTCTAGTTTCAAGAAAATTCCTTGAGGGGACAAATTTTATAGTGTTCAAATTTGTCTGAAATTTAACCGTCAAGTTTGAAGTTGACCTACAGTAAGTAACTTACTGTAGGTCAACTTCAAACATGAAGGTTTATAAAGTATGAGGGAGGAAATGGACTGAGGGATGGGACAAAAAGATTCCAGTATTAATAGACCCCCACCCCCAATCCCTGCCCTTACATCTATGTGGAAGGTATTTAAATAGAAAAACAATTATAAGAATAAATTATTTCTGCCTAAAAAAAGGAAATAATAGGTTAAAAATGTATTCTAATGATATAGAAACTTCATCTGTATAAAATGGCATAAAACTGTCTAAATTTCTCAGAAATATGACTTTTTTTCTCACACATATTACATGCAATTCTTGCTCTGTCATAAAAGCCAGAATATAACAAATAGAACAACCAATGACTTCACAAAAACCAAATCTTAATCAATGTTATTAAAATAAACAGGTTGCCAAAGCAATGGAAAGGTAAAAAAAGTCAAATATGAGAATTAAAGTTTTACCATGGTGGTGTCAAAATAGGCCTAAAAGTTTTCAAGATATACTGGTTAATAAAATGTAAAATTCATTATCTCATCTATTTAATCGCTTCTTAAGTTTGATTACTAATCAACTAATCAATATTTCGGTACTTAGATTATTCATCTCAAGTTAACCAGTACTAGTTTTTAATTGTTTTGTCCCAAAAAGGAAAATCCCATGTTGTGAGGCAGACACCTCAACTAGTTAGCCAGACATGCATAAAATAAACTGGTCTGAGAGAAACAAATGTCATTTTGTGAAAGGTAGTCTTAATGATTGGGGGGGGGGGGGGTAACAGCACAATTTAAGTCAATATGGCACCAAAACAAAGGATGATTTCAGATAACATCCGTCTTACAAACTTAAAGCGACACCAGGGGCAAAACCACCTCACCTGCTGGAGCTAAGAGATGCAGACTCCAGTAATTTACACCCATTTAGTCACCTCATACAATCAAGCAGGGATAAACAGTGGCTGCAATTCTGATGCCTCAAGCGGTAAAGGCAACCTCTCATCCACAAGGGAAAACTTTTCAGTGACACAAACAGTGTTATGGGTGTGTATGGATATAGGAACAAAAGGCCTTTAAAACGAAGTATCATAATAATGATAAATGAAATATTGTAAGTAACTTATAAGTAAAGCTGAAATATTTTATATTCTACAGCTTGTAAAATCCTAAACCTTTGTTTATTCTAATAATACACAAACTATTTAATGAGTTTTATATCTAAGTACCTCTACCTTCTCTAATATGGTTTCCTTGATCTAACTAAATTATTGAGACATGAAATTAAGTCATTTATTATAATCATTATACAGATATCTTGTGTTAGTTCTCAACCAGTACTCATTCATTTAGACAAATATTTATAAAAGAAATACTATTACATTAACAAACATTTTTATATGATATACTTGCATATCTCTCATAACACATATGACAGGAAAAATTGTGCTTATATTTCATGCCATAATGCTTGACATTCCAAGCAAGATTTTAGCTTTATACAAGCCATACCTGGGAACAAGTACTCTGTTAGAGATAATAACATTTTAACATCTACAGCATGGACAATTAAATGTGATGGTGTCAATGTTTACAAATCCTGAACTTTGAATGCTTTTAATGTCTATCTACTATATTCTATTACAATATGTCTTTTATTTTCCTCTCCTTTCATGCTGAATTTATGATCAAGGATTTGGCTTGATTTGACTTTGGAATTATCATTTTTGCAATGACAGCACCGAAACTGTCAAATGACATTGCAATAGCACATGGAAAGCATAAAAAACTATTTCTTTGTAGAAAAATAAATATGATATGTGAAATTACCAAATCAGACAAGAATAGCTCTAATGCTCTATTTAATATTAGCGGGATAATGCACCTTTACCATATATTAACATCTACAGAAGCCCTCAGACTAATTAACTCCCTCACCTTGCAGACTCAGGCTTTAAAATGTGTCCTGCTTCTGCAGATAATATATGGTAAAGGTGCATCATCGCACTTAGCCTATTTTGACATTGTATATTTCTTGTTGATAGAAGCATTAACATTCAACTTTCAAGATTTATACATAAAGTGAGGATATGACAACATATTATGTGTGCTTCAAGAACATTACTCTATAGTGTCCTCTTGTGATAACCCTCTTAAAGTTTTCATGTAAGCTATATGTGGTCTGAAAAAATGAAGTGAATGGCATTAACTATTGGTTATGAATGGAAGCACCATTGTACATAAAAAGTAATTTTAATGTATGTCTATAAATTCACTTGACTTGACTTTATAATTCTACAGTTTTTTGGGTTAAAATCATCTGCATTATAAAGACAAATCAAGAACAAAAGTTCATCATAAAATTCATATTCAGATAAATATTACATGTAACAAAGTAACTAAACAGCATTTGTAAAAAAAAGAAAGAAAGAAAGAAAAAAGAATCAAACTGGCTATGTTTGAAAATAAGTTGAAATGATTTCATAAAAATTGATGTTATTTTTTTTTTGATATTGACACAAACTGTATGAGGGATAACCTAAAAGTTTTGTCACTTCCTTAATTATACAAAAAAGTTGTGGATTTTACTATAATACACATGTATTGGAATAAATATGGTTTCGCTTATATTAAGTTACAAAAGTAAGATAATCCCAACATGTCAATTCAAGATTTTTTCCAGTTTTTTAATTATATAATTATAAAATTTTGAGAGAACTGCTCTCAAGCAGAAGAAATTCTTTTTGATGTGAATTCATTTTACATTGTTTAGTTGCAGTATAAATGATGTCATTGAACATTGATGTTTTTCATGCAGTTAATGAATGTCCCTCAAAGCAATGACATGTCAAAACTTTTAAAAAAAAAACCACCATTTTTGCTTTAAGCTCTTCAGGAGCAATGGAAAAGATAGTATCTGCCAAGAGGGAGAATGAGTCACTGAATGATAGTGCAAGGAAGATTGGCATGCAATACAAATCAATGTGAATGTTGAAATATTTTTAAGATACTACTGAGGAAGATTTATATGTTACTATCTGAGCTCTCTCTGAACACACAGGCTTCAGTTACAGCACTGTACAGTGCATACTTGTAGGAGACTTGAAGATGAGACATGTGTAAGATTTGTGGCGAAGTTCCTCATGAACAAACAAATGTCTGAAAGCTGGTTTTTATTTTGAGAAGTGATGCTGCGATAATGTGATATTTGTATGGCAAGTTCTTAAAGGTGTGCTTATGCATTTGTCTGTTGTTTATTTACGATTTGGTTATTAGTACCAAACTGAACATAATATTCAATATATTTTTCCAAATGTATGCCAACTTTGGCTGTTGCACTGTTTCTAATAGAGTTATAAACACAAAACTTTTGGATCATCCCTCATACTTAGTGAACTTTCTATACAGATAACAGTTTCTCTTGTTTTTTTTTCAAAGTATATTATGTTTTATGATCAATGTACAAGGTACAGATGTCATACAGTAGGCAGTTCCAGTGTATCTTTGTCATTTACCATGACAGATACAATATAGAACAGCTGACAGGAACAATTAACATGAAATGCATCTATTCAACAACAAGATATTTCTGTCTAAATAACCAAATTACTCACGGAATATTTCTGTGGAAGAGGACATCTACCTCCAAAAACCCGGCACTTTCCAACACTGCATAGCGATCTGATGAAAAGGTGAACTTTCCAAGTAAATCACCTAAAAGTTAACAATGGTATATGTAATAAAATATCATAATGGTATAGAAAAAGAAGAGTCTGAAATACAAGTCTGGTTATTTGAAATGTTAGACAGGAAAACCAGCAGGTCTAAACAAAAGGTAAAATAAAATTTGTACAGACGATAAAATTTTGTCTGATAAAACCCAATGCTACATGCCAATTTTCCAAGCTTTTAAATTTTACACAATAAGACTGAAATATATCTCACAATATAAGTATCTATAAATTTAGTGACCCCCAAGGCAGGGCCAATATTGACTCAAGAGGCATGATTATAATCAGTTTTATAGAGGTCCAAGGCAATGCTGCATACCAATCATCTAATCTAAGGCCAATGTTGTTTCACAAAATAAGACTGAATGTATTTCCATATATAAGCCTTTATAATTAAGTCACCCCCAGGACAGTGCCGATATTGACCCAAGAAGCATGTATACTATCTAAGAAAAATGTCAAGGCAATGCTACATGCCAAATATCTAAGGTCTAGGCAATGTAGTATCACACCATAAGACTTAAATGTGTTTTCCTATAAATAATAGTCTATATAAATCAAGTGATCCCCTTGGGCAGGGCCAATTTTGAAATTACTAAGTATGACCTTGACCTTAACAGAGATAGTTCAAACATATAACTCTGCACATTATCTTATTATGGTTAACATTTATATCAAGTAGGTACAATTTTCTTTCATCACTTTAAAAGATACAGAGGGGCCACAAAATTGTTAGCAGATATACAAATGATCAGGTGCATAACAATATATGCTGAAATGCAGGCAAATAAATAAGTTGCTGAACAAAAACTGGATTTTTGTCATCAAATTATTTACCTCATTCATGGTATGCTATGAATGGGGAGAAAAGAGAGGAAATATCTTACATAATGTACTACTTTTTAAAAAAAATAGTCTTTCCACAAAAAAATAATTATGATTAAGCTACACAGTGTCATAATTATGTCTGTTGTAGCTAGGAACATTACAGACAAGGAAACTATCTGATTTTATCATCAATCTTACCAGTCTAATCTTGGGAGACCCATCAAAATGTCAAATTATAATCTTACATTACTTGCCTAGCTAAGGAATAATCTCAGGATACTTTCTATCACTTTTTTTTCTTTGAGTACATTGTCTAAATAGGTCATTTGGGCAGCTTGATTTGGTTATATATGTTGGGTGAAAGATCTAATGTTGTAATTCATCACAACTGATGAGACAGAGAGACCATCTATAATATTTAAGTTATCCTGCTTTGCTTGATTTCCAAGGATTTCAACCTTGAGTGGACAGAGTATACAGTTGGGTCAGATTGCATTCACTGTGCCTCAAAACTTCAATTTAACAGAAAGCGAGTAGTTTTTACCACCAGAACAGAGCCTAGACAGCCTGCACATCTGATAATAGAACAGTTCCAAACATGTAAACTTTGTTTAGTCCTGTTAAGAATTCAGTTGGTTTACTGTTACAATGCATAGAATAACAATATATGATGAAATTCTTTCTGGAGTATATAAAGGCAATCAAAGTTACAATAATGTTATACCTTCAGGCTTCTTGCCTTCCTTCTCTTGTTTCTTGATCTTCATTTGAACATCTACTACATCAGACATGTGCTTTGGTTTGGGTTTAGGGTGAGCACCTCTTAATGTAGCCACAATTGCATGACGAAATCTATAATTGGAAAACAGCAAAAACACATGTATTATTCCAATTTAGTAAAATGTTATGATACTTATTTTCTAAAGTATTCTTCATTCCAATTTTTTATTTTACTAAAATAAAACAGAAAATCATCTTAACAATTGTTCCAAAAAGATAATGATCCCCCAGGCTGCAGACTAAAAGTAACATGTCTAGTTAAAACTAGAAATATAAATTTGATGACCAGGCAAGTAACATGTACAAACCTAAATAGTTTGTATGTGTGTTATATGTGTAATATAATGTTCATTCTAAAAGAATCTTAAACCATATTTTTTAAATTGAAAATGTGCTCCATTGCAATGTATTGCTAAACTGAATAAAGCCTTCTGAATTATGTTTAAGTGAAAAATTGGAAAGCCAGTTACTTAAAAACTTAAAAAGCTATAATGGCAAGCAGCTATTTCAATTTTATCTTTATTCAAATTCTACATACTGGCAAAGACATCTCTCTATCTATTTATGCAAATAGGTACAAAATTATACTTCAATATGTATTGTCAATTGAAAAAAAAAAGGAATTAAACTTTAAAGTGAAACTTGAATATTTCATTGTACTTTACCTATTTTTTTTTTAAACAATTGCAATTATTTCAAATTCTCTTTATTCAAATTCTACATATTGGCAAAGCCATCTCTACCTACTAAGCAAAAAAGAGACAAACCTACAAATTTCACACAAAAAGGAAGCCTATTAGAATAGCAACAGGATTTTGTTGACTCTTACATGATTGTAGTTTTTATGATAACAATACCAACAATGTAGGAATGAAGGTCACATGGAAGGACTTTTGAGCTATGTTTTGTGACAAACTATTGATTTGTAGGCATTAAAATGGTAAATGTTTGTTTGATAATTCAGCCAACACTAAAAGATTCTAAGTGACCCTTTGCAGATATGCTTAAGGTAACAGAAACAACATTTTTACATTGACCCATGAGGATTTCAGTTGACTGAGATCCACTAAAGTTCAAATCCATTCTGTTATAATCAAATGTGTGTGAGACAAAATATGTTTATTTTAATAAGAATGGAAGGCTTTTTAGGTATATTTTTCTGTTATGCATATATATATTACATGATTTAATGAGAGGAACCGATTGAAAATTTGAGTGAGTAAAATTGGTGAGAACCTTATTACTCCTTTAACATTTTACTTAAACAATTATGTCATCAAATTATCTATAATCTAATTTTTTTGCAATTAAATTCAAATTTTAAAATAATTTCTTTTTTAATTTCTACATTAAAAGCAAATAATAAAGATTACAATGATCTCTGCCAGCTTCTCCCTATCTACATGCTTAGAAAAAATGTAAGAAAATATAAAAAAGATGTTAAACTTGCTTCTGTTAAGCTTTTGTTAAAAAGAAGAAAAATTGAATGTGTTAAACCTTTATAATCATATCATATTATACATAACAATTATGAGAGCTCAGGACACCCAAATATGCACCCCCAAATTTAGAAATGTATCCTAAATTTTCAGTGACAAAAATTCAAATATTTGTATAAAATTAAAAAATGAGTAAACTCATGGTTTTTATTATAAAATTAATGTAAACAGCCATGTACCATAAGCATCCATTCATAAATGCATCTTTATATCATTATGACATATTTGATGAAAATTCCCAGAACATTTTGGTTCAATATCTACTGTTTGAAACACACTTACCGTAAAATTCCTATTAATCGCCCCCGGGGGCTAAACATTTTCCAAAAGGGGGGCTATTATTACAATACAGTTTTTCCTAAATCCAAAAATCACTGTAAATACATTTAGTGTTAGCAAGTGTTGGTAATAACATTAACAAGTGTTAAGGTTTTAAAGTTCATATTATACATATTTGTGTTTACTATAAAATACTATGGATTCTGAATGATTTGAATAAAATTATGGCTTTAATTATGAGTTCAGCACTGATAAGTAGATTGTTTTCCTTATCCCAAGGCCTTTATTAGGGGAGGGGCGTTTATTAGGAATTTTACGGTATAGCAATAAAAATGTGCAGTCATTCAGAGGTTAACTTTAGAAATATCTAGAATTTTGGCCAACCAAACTTACTTCACATATAGCACTTAATTGCTGTTTGTACAGTCATAAAGAAATGCTTTGGTCTTTCAAATCTTGAAATGTTCTATCTTCCCCATAGAAAAAGTGATTTCCTCAACATTTAGAAAATGGCAATTACAGCAATGCTCCACTCACACTATGTCTTATGCCTAGGTCAATAATGAATGCTGATACCTGGCTTTTTACAATATATACAATAATAAAAAATGTGGCAACTATAATAAGCTTTTAGGAAGAATGTATACAATTTACAATACATTACAAAGGTCTGCAAAATCACCTGAATCTGCTATAGAAAAAAAGATATAAACCAAAACAAGTTCATGACACAATGATACAGCCACATATTGAAGAGGTTTAATGATCAACAGCAGTTATATGGTAAAATAAATTATTTACAATAAAATGTTGTTTATGAATATTTGTACTCATACTGATCATACAGTTGCTTTCAAGATTTACTACTGTAGACTGAAGATTACATATTCCAAACAAAAGTGGGCAAAAGTAGAACCTCTAACCCTTCTTTCAGCTAGTTTGACAGCTTTTTGCCATGAATAAATTTAAAATCCCTGGGAGGATTCAAACAACAGATGTCTGGGGCAAGTAATTATACTGTAGGTCTATAACCTAACAGCCACATAGACCTCCTTTATATAAGTGCAGTCCACGTTCAAGTGCATCTAGAAGGCTGTATAAATCAAATTTGATCATAGACTCAGCCAACTTATCAAAAAATTCGAATTATAAAACATATCAAAAATCATATCAATAAAAAGGCAAAACAATTGTCAAATTACTTTATTTTTCAATGCCAATTTTGCCTGATTCCCCTTTCTATAAAGTATTACTATATATGAAAAAGAAATGCCTCTCCAACTGTTCCCATATAATTTTTTAGAAATTATTAAACAGTTTGAAAAAGATAATAGTATTGTTTCCCAATTCAGCATAGAACAATGTTTTCCCCTCTACCTGTCTATAGACCATGCAATGCACTGTCTTTTAACATAAATTTTATTACGTCATACTACTGTCGGTCTCAAATGAGATGCGCGCCGGACCATGTCGTATAAATCAGTGCGCCTATCGTACAAGTAGAGTAAAGACGTTGTTTTTACTCTCTCCGATAAACGAGGTTTATCGACCATTGTCGTAAATTAGTTTTACATTTTTATTTTTGTATTTTGTTATTACGTTGTAGTGACTTGAAAGTAAAACTATTCCTTTTTAGTTATTTTACGCTGTAAATAACGTTTTTTGGGTTTTGACTATTTTTGTGTATTTTTTACCACGTGTTGTGTTTGTGGTAGTGCAAACGCTTTACGGTAGTAATGGCCGAAGTTGAAGTGCGTGAGGCCAACAAGGCTAAAGCAAAGCAGAAATTAGCCGATATGAGCGTTTCTGATGGTCACAAGACAAAACCAGTGGATGTGACTTCAGTCAAAAAGCCCTCGAAAGTCCCACCTGCAAAGAAAACTTCTACGACGCAGTCGTCAGCCGGTGAGTTAGCTTCGAACTCGTCGAGTTCCGTGTCTGAACAAAATGTGCAGAGTGAAAAATTTCACCAAGAACTGATGGGTATTTTGAACTCTATTAATAAAAATCAGAAAGCCCAAGATACACGTTTGAAGTCTTTAGAGTCCCAAATGTTATCATTTTGTGAGGAAACTCCAGTTAATTATTATAATGATCATGAAGAGGAAGACCATTTCGGCGATGCTGATTTGGGAGTTACTGATCCAGTATGTAGCAATATAGATGAACATCCCTCTGATCAGTCAGTGCAGATTAACAAACAGGGGTCATCCGGGGCTTTTAAAGGTGTTTGTTCCAAGTATGATTTGTTGGAAACCGTCGATGACGAGGTTGACACCGATTTGGCAAATTTGGTTAATAATGTGTTTCGTGAGGGTATTTCTGATGATAAGTTTGCCTTGCTCATGAAAGAGACATCTCTTCCAGAAAATTGTACAGCATTAACGAAAACAAGAGTAAATAGTCTTGTTTGGAACTTATTATCTCCCCATATGCAGACTATTGATGCTAAGATGCAGTCTATACAAGAATCTATCGTTAAGGCTGCTGCCATTGTTACCAAGGTTCTGAATTTGGCTTCAGACAGACTATCTGGATATGAAATTGAATCTAGGACAGATGCTTTAGGTTTATTAGGTCAGGCAAATAAATTAATTAACATAAGAAGAAAAGAGACTCACAAAACTGATCTGAACAAAGAGTATCATTATTTATGTTCTGCCTCTCAGAAATATACAGATTTATTATATGGCGATGATGTGAGCAAGCATGTTAAGGAAATTCAAGACATCAATCGCACGGGTTCAAGAATGAGGGGTAGATATCCTTATGCTCGTGCCAGAGGTCGTTTTCCTTTGAGAGGTGTTTACCGTGGCAGAGTAATGAAGAGGGGCCGTGGTCGTGGAAATGGTGGTGCATTTAGATTTCCAAAAAACTACCAAGAAGACCGCAGCAAGAAATAAATATTGATAAGGTGAGTCAGTTTGAAGCAGGTAGATTGAGATATTTTGTGAAAAATTGGAGAGATATTACCCAAGATCAAAATATTTTAGATGTTGTTGAGCATTGCCATCTAGAATTTGAGTCAAATTTTGATCCTGATGATTTTTGTTTAAAAAACACAATTTGTAATTCTTTTTCACTTAAAGAACAAGAAGTTATTGATAATGAAATTGATAAATTGTTAAAACTGAAAGTTTTAATTGAAGTGAATCATGAAGATGGTGAAATTATCTCTCCAATTTTTACAGTGCCAAAGAAAGATGGCGAAGCCAGAATGATTTTAAATTTAAAAGAACTAAATATGCAAATTACTTATTATCATTTCAAAATGGACACTTTTGAGTTTCCCAT